TCATCTGCAGTCTATAACTAAACAAACCTATGGCAGCAAGGAATCTATTTGTTCAATTTATTCATAAGCGTATTTTCAAACGGTCTGGTTATCTTGGTTTGAAAGGAGACGAAGGGAGCTCAATAACATCTATTAACTGCTTTCATTTGAATTAAGAGTGAACGTTACTGGTCTTTTTGTTTTCGCATGAGGTCTGGAACAAACTGTGTGTGACTCTAGGGTTGAAAAATCTTCGGAAAATGCTCAGAGCTATTGTTCGAAAAAGTTTCCTAAACTTGTTAGACTTTCCGACGGTCACAAGCCCTCGAGAAACTCACCTCAGAACTCAACCAAAATGAGCGCAACGACGCAAACTAAATCCCCCTCCCTGCTTCCCCCACCCCTCTCCCCAGGCGATAAATAATGACTTGTTCCTAAAAGAATGAATTCTTTACAGGAGTTAGAGCTTGGTTCAGGGTCTAGTTTTTATCAATAAATCTTATCCAAATGTTTTAGCTCATGACGGGGTTCATCTTATTTATTTCGTTCTTACATTGTTTCCAGCCGCACACTTCAAGCCTAAGATAGATCCAAGAGATGCTGACCACAACAGACGATTTATACGTAAGTTATATTTTAAAATTTTTTTCACTCGTGTTCGTTTTCATGTTCCTCGTTTAAGCCCAAAGGTTGCCACTGGAATTCATTGCAGATTATCTGGCGTGACAAAGATCAGATTGCTAGGTTTGAAAAGCTCTAGCTATGACACTCGAAATTCACAATCCCTTAATATGAATAATATCTCGCCTCCTAGATAAAAAAAAACAGAAACTAATGCAATTGAAGCCTCTTAAGTAATTTCCCACAAAGTTTCGAAATGAATGCTTGTAGATTGAAATTATAATTGTTCTGAAACACAAACTTGAATAAAGCGCAGTTTGCAATTTTGTTTCAAGTCCCTGATTAGTGTAGAGCTGAAATTATTGAAAGGATATATTCTCTCTTCAGCTGGCTAAACATGGGAAAGATGATTTCAATATTTTTGTTCTTGTTGAGCACATACACTATCCTTTAAAAAGATATAAAGGTTACGGTGAATTCATTTAGCCGTTTACTCGCCTGTTAAGGTTTATTTTCTAATATTTATTTCACTCGCTTAACAAAAGGCTATGAGGCATAATACGCATAAAAAATTAAAACTGTTCCATTGGTAACAATCTCCGGCCTCGTGTCGATGGGAAGAAATATTTCGTTTTTCTTTTGTTGAGAATTCCTCGGTCTTCCTATTGCAAAACATTGCTTGTAATTCTGTCTACAAGTTGATTAAAAGTTATTTTTCTTCGTTTTTAGTTGGCGCAGACCCAAGAGAGGAGGACTACATCAAAGAACATAAGGGTAAGTTAACTTGATCTCATTGGTGATCACATGGGAGAGGGGGGACGGGGAGGTCACAGCCTCCCTCCTTCGGTACAACGTTGTCCCGCCTCTCGACTCCCAACCTTCATTGTCTTCATTGAATTTCTCCCATCGTCAGGTTAATAAAAAGGATCTGAGACCTGAGTTTCACTTACAAGCTAAGGCAAAACGTATCTCTCTTGAACATTCTCTGGCCATGCATTTTTTTAAGGGGGGAGGGGAGGGAAGATAATTTGCTCAAGATAAATATTATTACCGACCAGTTTTTTTTTGTTTTTTTTTTCATTAAGTTTTCGCGAACCTGTTTATCACTTCTGACATCTCACTATAGAGATGAAAGTAGGTTCACTCAAATCACTTAATCTCCTTGGTGATCATGTAAGACCAAGAGATCACAAATTGTTTGCAATTTTTTGATAGGACCATACACAGTAAATTATTTATCGATATTCGAAAAAACTCGTTTTAGATTATCTCTTCTCTGAGGCTCATCATTGAATCTCAATTTTTAACTGGAATGGCTACAATCTCAACCAAGATACACAAATATACAACAAGAATGAAGGATGACTTAAGCTTGACCCTAACAAGGCCATAGTGCATGTGGAACTCATCTTAAAGCTTAATTACTTCAGGAGCAGTTCTTAGTATATTGTTACAACCTTGGATGAGTTACTCAGTAGTATGCACTAAGATTTATGGTTAGGTAGTCCGTTAAAAATGCTTGCAACGTTAAAACTCAGTAATTTCTCCGAAATATTGTCAAAAACATGGTATAGCCAAATGCTTCTTTGTTGAGAATATCTTTAGATTTAAGAAAAAAAGATATAACAATTTAGTGGCAACTTGATCTCCAAAGAAACTTGTAAGGAAGTTTTGGAAGAAACTCATAGGCCTTTATTTTTTCCTTGCAGATTTCGCGCGTGAGCCTGGGAAAGATGACTACGAGGATGAAGAATATGGAGTAGTGAAAGACATCGAGGAACCATTTGGTAAGTCTACTTCCAAAGAGAGAAAGCTTGGGGCGACAGCGGGCGCGCATAGGCTTATGGGATAATCATGAATGCGGAGCTATAAATCAGAAGGTCGCCTAAGGTGGCATAAATGCGCACGCACCACTCTAGATTCAGGTTGTATCTCTTTCCTTAAGTGGTTAATTAGTTGTGTTTTGCAAGCATCCAGGACTACATAGATCACAGGATACAGTTGCTTACTCCTAAATTTCTTTTGCCTTTACTTTTCTATACTTTGAAAGGAAGTAATTTAGCATTGCTTTCGTTGCTTGTGGTGGTCCGGCTGTTTGTTATCATTTATGTCATTCTACTGAATCTTTTTGTCAGATACATTTGAATTTTCTTTTTCTCCTCAGACATACCCTTGGAAGATTTCGAAAATTCAAGGGAATCTCCCAAGCATAATTTCCAAATTTCCGACAAGGGTAAGTTGATTATCAAGCCAGACATTTCGTACACAAAAAATATCAAAGATCCTGAAGCGGGCGCGAAAATCGCCTCTCACGAGTTGAAGTTAGAAAATATTGACAACAAAAGATGCTCTGTGAGATAATTGACGTCAGCGCATGAGTCCAGGAATTTAGGTAATGTCAGGAGTTCTCTTCCTATATGTTATCATAAGATTGGTACATGCAAACATTTTACCTTAAAACGCTCTTTTTCGGGCAAGAGCTCTCGCACAATTTTTTCAATAAAATAATCCTTGTTTCAGACATCCTGTATGCAAGTTGCTGAGTAGGGAAATAACACAAAATGGAGAATACGCATTTTGTTTACCATTACGCCTGAGCGTTTGTTTTCCTTTTTTAAACTTTCGATATTTGGGCATCACGTTTTTTTTTCTTTTCAAGTCGAAGAAAATCATGGCCCGAAGCATCGACTGTTGATACGAAATACCCAAGTCACCCATATCAGTGCTCGGATGCTCCTGTAATTTGGTTTTGTGGCCTAAGGACCGAGTAACACTAAGAAAAGTATCACATTAGCTCCATCTAAACTCGTTCAGGAGTGATTTAGGTTAAGAAGAATGACTACTTCTGCTAAAACGAGAGGCAAAAGTCTTGGCACACTCGACTTTTTGTCGAATTTTTTTATCCATATATGTAACTCTCTCTCTTCCCCCATTTCACTTTTGCCTGAGGTTACAAAATAGGACTTTTAAGTAACGTATTGGAGATGAACTATAAGATTTCTTTCTATCATATTGAGTGGAGGGTTGTCGACCACTTTAGTAAGGGAAAGCGTGCCAACTATTTTTGCCACTTGTTGTAGGTATTGGATTTTTCAATGCGAATCTAGCTGGTAAATTGTCCCATCATCATCTAGTTCGAAGTCTTTTTTATTTTTATCTTTTCTCATACTTGACTGTCTATGAATTCCATCTTCTTTATTGAAGATCCTCACACATAATTAACTCTCTCCTCAGACGAAACCAAAGAAGCTTTCGAGAACTCAAGAGTTTTTCCCGATTTGGATTCTCAGACTCCTAAAGAAAGTGAGTAGATTCCTTAGCAGAAAATCTACTTGTCAGTGACTTACCACCGACCTTAACTGTCTCAGGGGTAATAGGATACGTACGAAATGAAAGATGACTCCTAAATAGACACGGTTGTGTGAAACAGAAGTCACGAACGCTGCCTTTTTTCCCACACTCAAAAGTTTCGCAAAGGACTCTTGGACATGAGTTGGTGGGTTGAGTTTTCCCAATTCAGCACCACTCAAACCGTTCTGGCTGAAATAGTCGCAGCGTTTTAAGCCAGGTTATAAGCTGCTTGACATGGCTCATCAAACAAGTCACTCGAAAATAGCTTGTGCTAAGTAGCACGCCAAGAAGAACCAACCAGCCAAACTAAGTGAAATCGCATGATGCCAGTTGGTTACGACTTTAAACTGACACAAAGTCATAGGTCCCCTTAACTTCCAAATGTTTGAACTTCCTCTTTTTCCACTTACTCGCACTCCTCATCTGTCCAAAAATAGATGGGAGGTATGACTCAATATATCCCTATTACTTACCGAGTATTCATTGAGGTACAGCTAACAGTTATAGCTTCCTGCCATCACTTCGATACTTCAAAGTCAACTCTATTTTTTCAATTTATTCTTTCTATTTAGACGGGCTGAACGAGTTACGAAGCAAGCCAGGGAATCCTCACGAGGACCATTTCATTCCTCTTGAGCCAGGTAAAGTGACATTTTTACCTTCCTCGCACATTTCCTATTCCCTATCCCCAACTTTTGACATCGCATGTGTAGATTTGAAAGAAGAGCGCTTTATATTCTCCAAATCTGGAGTGTGAAAGTAGCATGACTTTCGGTACTCTGATAGCCCTGAAAGACAGGATGTAAGCCATGACCGAGAGGCTGCAGTTTCATTCCTTGTTGGAAACTGATGGAAACACGGAAGCCCGGCGTAAAACGCCAACGCTTGCAGTTTGGATGCACGCGTAACAATGAACATGCAATTTGATGATTTGAAAAATATGTTTCTACTTAAGAGACTCGCTTAAGCAAACATCGAGCAAAAGGCCCAGTCAGTTTCCAAAATTTAGGCCTTTAAAAATTTCTTGCATATATCATTTTTTGGCGAGTAGTTTGAAACCAAACATCTAAGTGATTGCTCGTTTGATATCGCAACAAAATTTATTTTTCATAGGATACATCACTTTTGTAAAGGTCGTGGCATTGATGGGTAACCAACCGCTCTATGACTCGGAAGGTCTATTTCCTAAAGGGAATCTACTACTAAAGATCGTTCTGAGTAATGGCAAAGTACATCAAGCGGAGCTGAATGGAAGTAAATACCAAGGTCACCAACACGAAGAAGACTTAAACACCGAAAGTGATTTTAAGCCGCCACTCATCTGCACTCGTGAAGAAATAAGAAAAGTTCATCTCACGGCTCAAGGAAATAATAGATGGTACGTTGCTTCGATCGATACCTACACCGCGGGATCGCATAGAACCTTCACTAAGCTGACCAATGATCCAGGCTTCAGTATGTGGGTGGACGGCAATGAAGAACATCATTACCCATACCACGCCAAAGAGCACCTCCTCACCTATGCTGTCGCAGGATCCTGTATCACGTACATACGCGTTGAGGCAAGGACGAAGGAAGGCATGAAAGAAGATGGTTCCTCAAAAATGGATAGAAAGAGCTACTTCATTATCCTTGTTCTAACGCAGGACCAAAATCTTCGGGCAGAACTTGTGGGATATGAGTTACGAAGCCAATCCTCTGTGCTAGAGCTGAACTTCGTTAGCCGATTTCAAACCAAAAGGTGCGTTCCGATATCCGAAATTAAAGAAGTACGCCTACAAACTCATCATCAAGGAAATGAAAATTGGTACATATCATCCATTCAAACTTCTGCTAAGACTGGTGAGGAGCAGTACATGGATTTGACAAGTGATCCACACCTTAACAAGTGGTTTAGAGAGAACGATTCGAAAGAAATCAAACTAAAATGGATACATCTAGAGACCCTTACCTGTGAATACGGAAACCCAACGTGCGAATGCATGGAACACGCAGAAATTTGTGAATTTAATCTTGAAATTGATGAAATTCAAACCTTCACCAGCTATCAAAAGTTATCAGACGATGGACCTACAGGATTAGCTGTGCGCGGAACCGAGGGAGTGAGCTATTATTTCGATGAAAACGGAATACCTTTGCCACTGCAGTTTGATAGAATATGTTCAACATTTGACCCAGACGAATGCACTTATCCCCAGTATGTAGATGGTAAATCGTACCGTATGGTAATAGCGGTCAATGGACGAGTTCCTGCACCTACCTTAATAGTTTACGAAGGGCAAAAGGTTATTATTCATGTTCACAACAATCTCAGCACTGAAGGTATTTCAATTCACTGGCATGGAATGCATCAGAGAGGAACACCTTGGATGGATGGTGTTGGCCAAGTCACTCAATGTCCGATAGGACCATCATCAAGCTTTTCATACGAGTACACTGCTAGTCCTTCTGGAACGTTTTGGTACCACTCCCACAGTGGTGCACAGAGAACAGATGGCTTCTATGGTGCACTTGTAGTCAAAGAAAACAAATCAAGGTTGAACGATATAAGAACAGAACTGAACGCTGAATTTCAAGATCGTCCAGATCAACACACCTTAACGCTTCTAGACTGGCAAGTGGAGGCATCTTTAGACCTGTTCACTCAGAACCTAGCAGGCTTGGGCTTTTATCCAGGCAAGCCGCCTGGCGAAGTACCAACTCCATCTGATCAACAGTATAGTGCTACTCGTAGTTTTGACAATGGCGGAGCTGGACCTATCCCGTACTTCTCTGGAATCATAAATGGCAAAGGCAGACATGTCGATGTTCCATACAACAAAACCAGACTGAGTATATTCACTGTTAAGTGCGGAGAGTTATATCGCTTTCGGCTTGTAGGAGCCCAAGCGCTTTATTCCTACACCTTTTCCATTGATGGCCATAAACTGACTGTGGTCGGCACTGACGGCTATTGGATTGAACCCGAAAAAGAGGTTGATTTCATCATGATCCATCCCGGAGAGAGATACGACTTTCTACTCGATGCAAAAGAGGGAATAAAAGACTACTGGATTCGTGCTGAGACTATGGAGATTGATCAAAATGGCCAAGGGCCGCCTTACAAGTCACTAGGACATGTGGCAGAAGCTATTTTGCACTACAAACGGCGTGAAGATTCACTTGATCCAGATGTCAATGTGCCGTCGCATAGATATGAAGAAATCAAAAACAATTCTCCTCTCAGAGTGTGCACCCAGGAGAATCCATGCAAAGCAGTGAACTGCCCATTTAAAAACTTTCATTCTTCATACAACATTACCTGTACTAATGTAGACGAGCTGCGTTTACTTGAGCCAACTCCACCTGGGGAACTTCCAAATGCAAACCCTAACAGCCAATGCCGAAATTGCACACATTTCATCAATTTTAATTTTGAAGGTGAATCTCAAACTAGTTCAGTGAACGGGCGCAATTTTATACTTCCTTCCTTTCCACCCCAAACCCAGTATAACGATTTTCGAGAAAAAGACACGATCTGTAACCTAACGGCTGACTGCAATCCATCGACACTCGAGTGCTCATGTGTGCATATGATAGACATTCCATACAACGAAACTGTTCAAATGGTGTTTTCATCAATTGGTGCTTCTCCTAGTGCTCATCCAATTCATCTCCATGGCCATACGTTTCACGTAGTTGCCGTTGGATATCCAGAGTATGACAATACTACTGGTTATGTTAAAAAACCCAACAGTGATATATCCTGCGCTGATGTTAACTGCACTAAAGAAGGGTGTGTGAAGGAACGTTGTACCAGACCAAGCTGGAGGACGGAGCCAATGAATTTTACCATCAATCACCGCACGATCAGAAAGGACACAGTAATGGTCCCTGCTGGCGGCTACGTTGTTATTAATTTTCTTTCTGATAATCCAGGCCAGTGGTTTCTTCACTGTCACAAAGAATTGCACCAACTTGAGGGAATGGCACTTATTGTCAATGAGGCTTTGGAGGAGCAGGGCAAGCCACCCGACGGCCTGAACAAGTGTGGAGACGTTGATTTGAGTTATGATGAGATCGGTTCGGGGGAAGAACCGACTGTCAATGAAGATTTCGAGGAGTAACGCAACTTGCAATTGAAAGCACCTGATGGCATGAGCAAGTGTGAAGACTTTGAGATAAGTCATAATAAAACTGAATCATAATTGCCAATCACGAAGCTAATGCTCGAAAAACTATTTCAAAAAGGATAGGTCCCGACATTCTTAGAAGCTATTAACCTCAACAAAACTACTACTTGAAAACATTCGGTAACAATGTGCGTGCTAAGATCCAGAATTAAGTATTTTACATTAGAGTGGGCCAAATCGAATACTCGGTAACAAGTGAGAAGTGCTTTTTGTATTCTTAGGCTTTACTGGATTGTTTCATAACTTCATAAATAAACAACTCAGTTATACGCGCATTTTTTGAGATTTAAAACTAAGCATGTTAGACTAGTGTGAAACAAATGTGGGACTAGTGCTAGACTAGACAAGTGTGACATAATTTGTAAGAGGTATTTTTTTGTTTATATGGCCTTTGCCGAGTAATTACAAAATTTTTTTATGAGTATTATATCACCGACGTGATTTTTTGTGGATCTTTTAAGATCCAGAATTAAGTATTTTACACCGGAGTGAGTCAATTTGAGTACCCAGTGACAGTAGAATTTGTTTGCACCTGTGAGCTTTCTTGTAGTTTTTTTTACTTTTATCACCTCGTTACAGCGACGATTTCTATTACAGGAGGCTCGTAATGATTTAAGCGTCTGTAAAACTATAGCATATGCTGTATGATCAAAGACAAATCATTTAGAAAGGTTAAATTCAGAGATACTCTGACACTTAATCGGTCATCAAGTTTTATTACAAATTAATTTTTTTTGAGTTTTCAACGATAGAAAACGTTTTTTAAGAAGGTCATATGCAACGTATGACGAACTGGGAAAATACTCACTGTAATAAATTTGTTTGATTCATTGATTTCAACTATTTGGGGTGACGGAAGAAACAGAAACTTACTAATGGCCCTACCCTCCCCTTCCCTTCTCCTTTGGCCACGCCCTCTCCTTCCCCCTCCCCCCATCATTATTCGGAGGTCCGGTGCAAAATTAAAAGGAAAAAAAAGATATTACTAGAAATCTGTTGCTTGATAAATTGACTCCACTGTTTACCTATACTCTTTTGTTAGGAGCGACGGAAGAAAGGCAGTCACTCACAACCCCACCCATACCCCCCCCCCCCGAAAAAGGGTGAAAATTAGATTTTAAGTTTACGTTTTCCTATTTTTTAAAACCAATGAAAGGTTAACCCTTTAACTCCCAAGATCTCATCAGTAATTCTCCTTACTGTCTGCCACACAGTTCTTGTGATGTTAGTTTGGAGAATTTGGTATTGAATCAACTCATTATCCCCTAATTGATAACTCTATGAATTCTCGTCACTCGTCTGCTTGATATTGTATTGATATTGTAAGGAGAAATTCTGTCTTGGTCACTCATGGGAGTTGAAGGGTTAAAAAAAATCTAGGGAACGCCCGTGCGAATGGAATTACACTCTTGTATTCTCCTTGGAGTCATTTTGAAAATTTGTTTTCAAAAATCCTTATTTTCGTTTCCTTTATTCCCTCTCAGTTCTCAAGTGACCTCATGAACACAAAATCTTTTAGAAATACTCTTCTCTCTTAATAAAGAAATAAATTCATCCCCATTTCTCTCCTTTCTTCGATAACGTGGAAAACTGGACTCGTCAAGCTTAATGTTGTCATAAACGACGGAAAGAATCAAAGTTATTTTACCACCAACTAAATAGAGTTTATTCCATGGAAAGTGCGCAAGAGCGATTTCTATTCACAAATTCAATTAATTGGTGTAATTAACGTACCTTTTTGCAGAACAAATAGACTGAAGAATAGTTTTATCATGTACAACGCGGCTATTTCCTAATAGCCTTATCATGTGTAACACGAAATTTAATATACATATATAGTATCTCTCTATCTATCCAAGTTGCGATGCATCAAAAAACGAATAAAGGGGGTAAGTTTCTAAAGAAACTGTGGTGCTGCGTCGGTATGAGATATAGCAGGTAATTTAGTGTTAACAACTGAGTTGGAAACGTAAATTAGCCACCGTAAAGGGAAAAAAAGCCGACGTTTCGAGCATCAGTCCTTCGTCGAAGCGATTGAAGGAATTGTGAGTTATGTGTGGGTTTATATGCAGAAAGTGGAGATACGCTATTGGTGGGAATATGGTGACGAGAAACCAGGAATAAATTAGTTGAATGAAAAGCGCTCGTTGATTCCGTGGGGATTTAAAGGGGGCCGATTTGGAAGATAAATTTTTGTTCTAGTGTTTTGCGGCTTTCCGAACTGCCTAGATGTATGGAAAAGTCGCAAACTGCTATGCGCTGTTTAGAATGATTAGGGAGATTAAAGTGTCTAGCGACTGGTTTGGATGCGTCCTTGTCATTTCTTTCCACGTCGCGAAGGTGTTCTTGGAATCGGTCGTCTAATAGTCTTCCTGTTTCGCTAATGTATAACTTATTGCAATAAGTGCAAGTTATGCAGTAAATACCTCCGCCAATGTTATTTACAGTATAACTTGGGACGATTAGAATCAATTGCTTCATCAATTTTAATTAACTCGCATTTACTGTCTGGTTCTAATTCAATTCATCAGCCTTATGACGTACGTAATACATGAAGCCAATAGGCTGAAGATGTACACATCGAAGTTGTGCACATTTTTTTTGATAATCTGGATATTCTGTTGCACCTTTTGTTTCAACGTCGACGACAAGATACAACCATGTAAGTTGAATATGTTGCTCTACTCATTGTGACATCAATTGATTATCAAATGAGAGCGAAAATTGAAGGTCTCATTCTTGACTTCGCGTCGAGGTTTCCTTCGAACAAAGCGCGTGCTCGATCTTGTTTGGATTTTCTCTCTAAAGATTTGACTAGTTCGTCTCACTTCTAGCCATAATAAATTCCTTGCTTATTAGTGAAGAGTAGTTGCGTTACATCAAGATAACACATTCTTGCTGAAAAATTTCTGTTGTCTCAGTAGATAACATACTTCATTTTATCTCTCAGTTAGAAGGTATGCCATGACTGGTGAATCAAGCGGGCCTTATTTCACTGTGAGGCTCGCTAAACTCAAAACTTTGTTTAATTGAAATCCTTCCCCTCTACTTGAACCCAGAGATACAACAAATATCTTACTGACCTAATTTCCAAGGCACAGATCCTCCTTTTCCAGCTGGGGTTCATGGCCCAAGCACGAAGCGCGGGCCATAAATCCGAGCAAAGAAACTCGGTCCGTAACTTGCTGTGCGGACCGAGAAAACGAGGTAAGTAAGAGGTATGAAATACTGAGGTGAGTTGAATTTACTTCTCGGAGTTATAACTAGGGATTGCTGCACTGACTTTCCACGTTACAAAATACATAAAAAAGAAAGAAATATACGTAGTAACCGAACTCAACCCATAAACACTTGCTTACAGTTAACAACTCCAAGATTGTTTCTGCGTTTGGTTTATTCCATGACAAGACGCCGCCAACATGGGAACGAGGTCAAATCGTGGGTTACAGCCTCGTTTCTGCGATGGGGGAAGTACATTTCAAATCGGACTCCAGAAGAGATTCAACCACATTCAAGTTCCCGTCACTTGTAAATACGATCTACTTGGATAAAATACCAAAATGGAGCGAGCTCACTATTGGGAAAACTGTGTTGGTCGAGGTTCCACCGGGAAATTTTCATACTGGAAAAATTGTGGCACGATTCAATTTCACTGTAGCAGACACAAATAACAGAAGAGTAACAGTTCAGATTTCAAAGCTTAGGAAGACTTTTGAGTATCAAAATGTACGGGTGAAAGGTAGGCCTGTGTATCTGACGCTCAGCTGCCGTAAGAACGACATTCATCAATAAATATTAAGTTATAATCCATTAGTTCTAACCAATGATATCATCCACGTAGGAATGGATGCTTGCCGATATTTTGAAGTTGATTGTGACGACCAACTTGAAGTCTGTTACCAAATATACCTCACCAAATGGTTGCCAGCACCGGCTCAGTACTATTGCTCCTGTAGGGAAGGTTTTAAAAGACACCCAACTAAAAAGTGCCTTCGTAAGTAAATCTGTTGTAACGAACAAGTCAGCCACTAGTAAAGTCATATTTTTTTCCAACGGAAGTATCCCTGCACATCTTAACGAAAGCGTAAGGGGAGCACGGTTTCTGCTGCGCGTGGGAAAATCCGCCATCTTGAGAAAAATGGGAATTTTTCTATATTTCTCTTCTTTTCCCACCCATCAACACTTCTTGGATAAATATCAGTATCTGGGCAACTGCCCACTTACCCCTCCCCTAACCCAACATTCACCCTGACTTGTTATCAACTAACTGTTGTTGGGTTAGGGGAGGGGGAAGTGGGCAGTTGCCCAGATACTGATATTGATCTCACTTCTTCCTACCCACGCTCAAGACAGTGACGTAACCCTTGCCGTAACGCATACAACTCATTCTTGAGGCAATCATCAAAACATCATGTAGTTTAAAAGCATTCAAATATAACAAGCAAAAATCACCCGCTCTCCCCTCTACCACTTCTAAGCTGGATACTTCAAGCTTCGCAAGTCTTAATCCTTTAACTCCCAGATCAAATTCGTTATTCTCCTTACTGTTAACCACACAATTCTCATGATGTTACTTCAGAAATTTAGTATTGGATCAACTAATAATTCTCAAATATATATTTTTCTTTATTCTCATCACTTATCTGGTTAATATTGTATCGGTATTGTAAGGAGAAATTCTGTCTTGGTCACCCATAGGAGTTAAAGGGTTAAACAAATTCAGGTTTGAAAGATTTATTCAGACACCTTGTTGTGCGGCATTTTCTAATGACGACGCATTTGTAACAACCTACGCAATTTGTGATGACGGTGGTGGCATTTTGTAATAATTTGCCAATTTTTTAAAAGGTGTTTCAGCGTTTTGCAATGAGAATGAGCTACGTATTTTGTTACATAATCTGTAATAAACGCAACAGCATTTTGTAATAATCGTCGGTCTGCTCAATTCAGTTGTAACATGTTGACGCAAATTGTAATAATCTCAATTTTGTCGCAAAAACTTATAGTACTGTCCAAAAGTAATGCAAACGATTATCGTCGAATATCGCTCCTTGTTCTTCCGAGATATTGCTGCGGAAATGTTTCCTGGAACTTATCATTGAGTTGAAGTAGCTGTTTAAGTAATGTAACTCTTTCTTCTTTAAGGCTCTAAAATTGATGCTTGACAAATCATTTTTCAGAGGAGGAAAACTGCAAATACCCAATCTGTAGGACAATACTTTTTTGCAAGACTCGAGAAAAAAATTTAATTTGCTGCAGGATGCTGTTACAAATTTCGTAGACCGACGATTATAGCAAAATACGGCAGCCTCTATTACAAATGCGTAGCTCGCCGTTATTACAAAATACTGCCATGCGTACATGTATTACAAAATGCGTAACTTATTACAAAAAGCCACAACTGTTGTTACAAAATGTGTCGCTATTACAAAATGCCGAACACACCCTACGCATTGAAATTTCCTTTTCTCCCGTCATTCCAGCACTGAGATCAAAGGATCCAATACAAGAAATAGAAGAACCTTCTGAAGAAAAATCAAAGAAACCGATCAAATGGAGAGAAAACAAATCAAACATCGGAGTTATGATAGCGATCGTTGCAGGCTGTGTTGTGCTGATAAATGTTGTAGCTGTTTGTCTATGGGGGTAGGTAGTTTACAAATATCAATTACAACTTAGGATTTAGTTTCTGTGCGGTATAAGTAAACAGACATCTCACTCATTGATGCAAGAGCGTTTATCATCAACCACCTGATACGTTTCAGGTGGTTGATGACAACTTTCCCACCCATTTCAAAACATTTAAAAGCTTATTAAAAAAAAATTATTTTAACCAACAAATGGACTCATCTTGGTATTATATTTCTTTGGAAAGTTGACAGTACGTAATTCAATTTTCATGTCGCTGTGCAGACCATGGCTGTCATGGCGTTAGGACCAGAACCATTCCATTCCCACTGACTAAAACAAAATTTCCCCCACAAAATATCAATACAATATCGAGTAGACAAGTGATGACAATGAAGAAAAAGAGCTAAGGGGGTTATCAGCTGATCCAATACCAATTCTCTGAACTATCATCATAAGAATTGCACGGCAGACAGCAAGGAATCTTGGGAGTAACAGGGTTGATTAGATACCATATGCTCTTTCTCAGGAGCTACGGCATCCGCGTTCCGAGCTCCAAACCAATAATAACAGACAGTAATATTACTTAAGAGCAAAACAAAACAGTAAAAATGACTGAACATTTTCCTTTGATCAGATTGTTCACCTAACATCTTTGATGGTGTGCATTCGATATTTGTAGGAACGCTCCCAGGGAAATGACCAGCGAGGAAAGACTTCGGCGAGCACTCATCAAAGAGATCCATGCAACAATGGGAGTCGAAGAGGAAGAGGTTGAAGAAGCGAGTTGCTTGTGTTGTTCCAAACAAGGAACCTCGAGGACAACTGAAAATGACTTTAAAATTGCCATGAAGCCGACTAAAATCGATAAGAATGTGGAAATGGCGCGACAGTTGCATCAAGAAATGGAACATCGAAAGAACCTTAAGGCTAGCTTGATGACAAGGGTGGCTGAAATAAGGAAGGACTCAATGACAAATGAAAATGATAACGTAATGGACTCAAAGTCACTCATAAAGACAACTGAAAACTACAACAAGGTGGATTCGACCAGAACTGAAAATGAGATCAAGGATGATTCGAAGACTACTGATGATGCCGTCGAAACAGCTGTAGATGACACAAATACGGTCTCAGTGACCATCCATAATGACACCAAAACGAGTGCTTATGACATCGACATCGACTCTAAAACCAAAGAATATGGAACCAAGGAAGATTCGATAACAACCGGAAATAACTCCAAGTCATTCATAAAGACAACTGAAAACTACAGCAAGGTGGATTCGACCAGAACTGAAAATGAGATCAAGGATGATTCGAAGACAACTGATGACGCCGTCGAGACGGGCTTGCAAGCGGCTGAAAATGACAACATGACAGTCTCACAGACTACAACCCCTGAAAATGACATCGATACGGGATTGGAAACATCTGAAAATGAAAGCAGGTATGATTCGACGATAACTGAAAATGATGCCGAGTCAGCCTTAGCGACGGTTGAAGATGACACCAACATGGACACCAACATGGATTCGACCAGAACTGAAAATGAGATCAAGGATGATTCGAAGACTACTGATGATGCCGTCGAGACGGGCTTGCAAACGGCTGAAAATGACAACATGACAGTCTCACAGACTACAAACCCTAAAAATGACATCTATACGGGATTGGAAACATCTGAAAATGAAAGCAGGAATGATTCGACGATAACTGAACATGATGCCGAGTCAGCCTTAGCGACGGTTGAAGATGACACCAACATGGACACCAACATGGATTCGACCAGAACTGAAAATGAGATCAAGGATAACTCGAAGACAACTGATGATGCCGTCGAGACGGGCTTGAAAACGGCTGAAAATGACAACATGGCAGTCTCACAGACTTCAACCCCTGAAAATGACATCGATACGGGATTGGAAACATCTGAAAATGAAAGCAGGAATGATTCGACGATAACTGAACATGATGCCGAGTCAGCCTTAGCGACGGTTGAAGATGGCACCAACATGGACACCAACATGGATTCGACCAGAACTGAAAATGAGATCAAGGATGATTCGAAGAATACTGATGATGCCGTCGAGACGGGCTTGCAAACGGCTGAAAATGACAACATGACAGTCTCACAGACTACAACCCCTGAAAATGACATCTATACGGGATTGGAAACATCTGAAAATGAAAGCAGGAATGATTCAACGATAACTGAACATGATGCCGAATCAGCCTTAGCGACGGTTGAAGATGACACCAACATGGACACCAACATGGATTCGACCAGAACTGAAAATGAGATCAAGGATGATTCGAAGACTACTGATGGTGCCGTCGAGACGGGCTTGCAAACGGCTGAAAATGACAACATGACAGTCTCACAGACTACAACCCCTGAAAATGACATCTATACGGGATTGGAAACATCTGAAAATGAAAGCAGGAATGATTCGACGATAACTGAACATGATGCCGAGTCAGCCTTGGCGACGGTTGAAGATGACACCAACATGGACACCAACATGGATTCGACCAGAACTGAAAATGAGATCAAGGATGACTCGAAGACAACTGATGATGCCGTCGAGACGGGCTTGCAAACGGCTGAAAATGACAACATGACAGTCTCACAGACTACAACCCCTGAAAATGACATCGATACGGGATTAGAAACATCTGAAAATGAAAGCAGGAATGATTCGACGACAACTGAACATGATGCCGAGTCAGCCTTAGCGACGGTTGAAGATGACACCAACATGGACTCAAAGACAGCGGAAAATAATATTGAGGATTTAAGGGTGGCTGAAAATGTTGTCGAATCGAGCCTGGAGACGACTGAAAATGTCGCGAAGATGGTTTCAAAGACGACTGAAAATGAGACCAATGACTCGACACCTGAAATTTGCGTCATAACGGACTTGAAAACGACTGAAAATGACAACAAGATGGACCCTCATGCGATTGAAAACGAGACCACAGACGATTCGACGACAGATTATAAGGATGTCTATATGGGCTTGGAGACGACTGAAAATAATATGCTTGAAAATGAGGCCAGTGATGATTCGACGACGACTGAAAATGCCGTCGAGACAGGCCTTAAGATGACTGCAATTGAGACCAAGATGGATCCAGAGAAAACTGAAGATGAAGCTTAAGATCTCGACAAAAGGGAATTGAGTATGATTGAAAATGACAATAAGATAGTCTCAAAGAAGATTGAAATTCAGATCGACGATGATTCGACGAACACTGAAAGTGATGGATATGTAAACTGTAGCGAAGAAAACAGGGTAGCATCGACTAGAAATTTCAACTGAGAAAACTTACCTTTTGCATCAAATGACTATCACTTTCTTCTATCACTTTTAAATCTATAACAAGGTCTCAATCTAAGGGTTGTTCTTAAAATCAGGACAAAGTGTGAAAAAAAATTAATTTATTGTGTCTTCCTACGTGAAGACCCAATTCTGCCCTTTTTCTACGCACAGCCTCCGCAATCGGTATTAAAATGTTCCTTCTTTAGCTTTTTTTGTGGTTGACTTAAAATCTAGCCGGCCAAGTTCCCGTTCCGATGGAAAAAACAGCAACGGAAATAATTACAAAGAAATACTGTTCTTTAAAATAATCTTTTTATTGTCAAGGAGGAAGTTCAAAAGTATTCAGCCTTTTTTAGATTATTGTTTGTTATTCCGGGGTTGAAGCACAAATTCTTCAAGGTCATCCTCCAAATCTTGCTCCTTGGTCAAAAATTCTGGTGCCATTCCTGTATTGGTATGCACCTCGTGTTCCACTCCTACTGACCTCATATATAGACTAGCTTCATCATGAGCCGATTTTGTAGAATTATTCTCTTTAGAGGGCGTCTGATTTGTACGTTGAAGTGGAGACGTACCACAAGCGTTGTGAGGTTGTTTCGTAGATTCTCGACTAAACGAAGTGCCAAGAAAGTCTGAAGAATCTTCCCCTTTTTCCTTCATACTATTGGCTTGTGTGTTTGCGCAGTTTGCAAAAGCGTCAGAACACTGAAGCATTGTTACATTGGTTTCTTTCTCTGATAAACTGCTTTGCATAAGCTCTTGTGGCCTGGCACTATTTGCATTTTCCGGCGATTTCTCATTTGCTGCCAACGTTCTGTTGAGTAGCTTTGCGGCGGCGTGGAATTCCTCCTGTCACGAAATACACGAGCAATGTCACCTTACATAAGTACAAGAAATATTAAAATCATGTCTCGAGAGGCATCAGTTGAAAAAGTTTATAACAGCTCAAAACTCTCACGAAAGTCAAAAGATTCACAAAATGCTTAAAAAAAGGAGCAGCCAAGTTTTCTTTAACGCATAAAAGGTGACGAAAATGGTGAACAAAGTTGTAGAAAATCTCTTCCTCTCCCCACTTCGTATTCCTTTTGCATTCACGCGCACCGCGCGTGAACACAAAATTAGCCAATCACGTCAACGAACTCTACCCTTCACAATTGAAAACTGACGTGGGCATTTTTCACGTACTTTCAGTTTATTTTCGCGGAGTTTTAGTTGTTTTAGAGCTTTCGTTCGCGTAAATTTGTAACTCCTTTATTTGGAATTTTAAGAAGTTTTTGAGTTTTCATTTTAACCAAATGTTGCGGTTCATTCAACAAGTTTAATACATTTTTTCTACGGAGTTTGGAATCTGGCCTCTTTTTTCGTAAATGGATTTTTTAACAAAAGTCACACTAACGATGATTACATGCAGCTATATTCAGAAATCGTTTGAATTTTAAAAGAGTTAACCAGACCTCAACAAGGATCTAGATGATAAAACTAGTGAAAATTCTATGTATTTCTCAACATGTCTAAGGCTAAGAAAACTGGTCACCGTTAGAAATTGTTGTTCAAGGGATGGTAGATCACAACCAACATAAGCATCATTCATGACACAGTACTGAAGAAGGCAGCACCAGTAAGGATCCTGCAAACCAAAATGAATCCCGGTGTTACATGACAGAAATACCTTAACAAACATTAACTCGCGCTAGGATACATTCAGAGGAATTTTCAGTGGAGTATTGCAAGCAATTCAGTCTTGTATTGAATAAAGGGAGTTAGTTACAAATGGCGGCAAAAACAACAAAGCCTGAACTTTAACCAAAAGTTTATTAGATTCTCACAGACACTTCTAACCTGGCAAAGTACATAAGGATTTCCAACAACAACAAGCAGAGCCTGGGCACGGGTGATAGCCACGTTAAACCTCTTGGGATTACTCAGAAAGCCGACGCTGTGACGTACATCAACACCGACCATTGACTCGTTAGAGCGAACCTGCAACCAATCATAGTCGATCAGGATCACATAAGACCGTTCTCTGCTGTTAACGTGAAGTTCATTTTTCTCCATTTACGTTTATTTGCCCCTCTCCATATGGCACCACACCAGAATAAAAACCGGATTTATTGGTTATTTCTGGGAGTGAAAGGACCTAGCGACGGTGAAAAGCTAATGGTTTGACTTTCTTTGGAGGCAGAAATAATCTGGCTTCACTGAAGTAAGACGCATCACTCTCTTGAGAACAACTTGGCACCCAGCGTTACTATTGATTTACAGTGGCTAGGAAACGAGAAGAAAACTAACAGTTTTAAAACTTATTAGTTAAAAAGATTTTAGTAACAACTTCAGCCATTTATGCTAAAAATGAGTTTTGGAAGAGAGTAGCTCTTGCGTCGTACCGTTGAAATGACAATGGCGAGCCTTTCCTGTCCCTGAAATTCCTCTACGGATCCAACTTTTACTTCACCTAATCCCAAGCGATCGAGCAAGAGACGAAGCTTTTCAACCTTAATGGCACGATAAAGAAAAGTCACTTAAAATAAAGACCGTGTGGATCGAGCTTAAAAAAATAAATGCTAATACCGATATCTAACATGGAACACTCGTTGATACATGTAGCATAAAATTTGTTGGGCAAGCTGACCCCATCTCTATTCAAGATGCTTTCAGCATTTCGGCACTGCTAATCATCACAGTATCCGCAACATTTGCAAGTGCACTCACGCTCGCCGTCCTTCACTTAATTCTAACGAGGCATATTGCAGGATCTCTGTACACAATGTTTCCCTGTAACTTCCCTTATGGTGATCTCACTCACTCAGGAATAGATTTAGGGCTTCACCGCACGAACCTGTTTTCTGTAAGGTGTGATTACACCAATATCTGTGAGTTTAAGAGGGAAGTTGTTGTCGGACCTTAGAGACTGTAAATATTTCACAACTTGAACTGCTTCCACAGGGTTGAACCATGATGGACTGTTGCCCTCACGAAGATCTTCCCCCTTAAAAAAATTCATAGGCAAAACAGTTGATAAAAATTTTAAAAAAGTTGTTGGCAAACTAACAAGATGCTCTCGGTATAGCTAATCATTGCCACTTCAAATCGTTTCTTAACTTTTATAGTTATGAAAAACATCAGCATGTGCATCGCTTAGCTAGTTCGTAATTTTTCTCTCGTATCTGTTCTGAAACGGGCATTTCAAAACGGCACCAATGGTTCAAATTCTATTTTTTTTTTGTAAGGATGTTGGATTAATATCAGTATCTGGGCAACTGCCCACCTACCCCTCCCCTGACTCAACAACAGTCAACTGCAATTCCCCCCTTACTTTCTTTTTTTTTTTTTTTTTTTTTTCAAGGATTCATTTTGTTTCCCACACATTTTAACAGGTCTTAATAATTGGATCGCAAATTTCGTCCTTGTTTCAAGAACTCAAAACTTGATAAACACTTTGCTTACCTTGAGCCCATGAAAGAGCACCGGAAATCCTTTGCGTGGCAGCTTTTCCCAGTGATTCAAACTTTCCCTCATGTTCAAATCAGCACATGGCTGCAGCTCATCATGATAAAACACCGCCGAGGGCAGTTTCAGCACAGCAGGGTGTGATCGGTAATTATTCACAAGTTTTGTCACTAAAAGAGGATCATAGCATCCGTGGTCCACAAACTTGTCTTCGTCTCGGCAGTACAGTGGTCTGTTCATTAAACGCTCCAGTAGAGAGATGTTCAGTCCGTATGCGGCTGCCACGCGAGATTGGAGAACTGGGCCGAGTTGGAAAGGATCACCAGCCAAAATAATCTAGAATTGTAAAAAAATTGGCTTTTTTTCCTGAGATCCGAATCAACGGACTTCTAAAACAAGGGTAAAGGAGGCACACATTGCTGTTTGCCATACGATTTGATCGTCTCCATCTGTAGCGAACCTTATTTCCTTTTTGGTGTACCTCTGCCTCTTTTTTCGCGTTGCTTCATCATCAAACTCATATTTTGAACCCTCCTTTGCGTGTCTGCTTTCACAAACCTGATCTTAGCATCCAGTAATGAGTATAAATGGCTGCCGACGAAAGATAAAATAGAAAGATAAAATAACCGGGGAAGGGCTTTTAAGAGACTTGTACTCCAACTGAGGGGGAAGGGGTGGCGGAGGATTTAATTCCTTCTCTTTTTACGCTCCAAGACCCTGAAGATCAATAGACTTTTGTTTTTCTGGGACCCAATTCACGCATTCCTTATTTTCGCCTGATAAGTTGCCTCTTCCCTTCTCTATTGAAACCTTTCCCAAGAAGTTGAAATCATTTCTAACTTGAACTGATTTCACAACAAACCTGACCATCTTCTCCTGCAGCCAGACCAAGAGCAACAAGACACTCTGGTTCGGTAGCTTGCCCTGCCTGGAGAAACAACAACGATTTCATAATGCTATCGACATTGCTGATCCAAGCAGTATGCAGGACGTGTGTCATATGAACTTAGTTATAGACCTCACTCATCGTAGAGTCTCTGTGGCTCAGTAGTAGAGCATCGGAGCGCGGAATACGAAGGTCTGAGGTTCGACTCCTCATGGGGACTCAGAATCTTTCTTTGACCGACGCTTGTTAAAATTTGTGATAAATTCAGAAAACAGTATGGATGAAAGCTGCCATTGACTCAACGACGTGTTTAATTTCACGAAGCCGTTAACGTAACAACGTCTGAATCTTATCGAGGTCTTAAACGTAACGACGTCTGAACCAGGAAAGACAGCATAAAATCAGCCAGAAAGAAATCGAAAGTTTGCTCTCCACAAAGAGGAATAAAAGCTTCACCTCACGAAAAACAGACACACTCAGACGGCTCGCATATCAATCCTACAAACCTCATCAATGAATACATGAGTTATGTGGCCAGGCCGCAATCCTAAGGAATAAAGCTGACCAGCTGTGCTGCATGTGCTGACTATAATACGATAGCGTGACGCCATTTCCAACTGATCTGTGTCAATACAGTACAGACTGATGCTTTCTGGGATATTCTGCACTCTCTGGGCCGCATTGAGGCGTACCATGTCTCCCGCTTGGATGTAACCGCTCATATGAAGGCGTTCGGCCTTACAACGCAAATAACAGAAATCAAATATCAACTTGAACACATGTTAACCCTTAAGTACCGAGAATAACTGGGAAGGAATTTCTACTCACATTTACGACACATTTTAAAGCAGGAGGTGATGAGAAGAACAAAAATATATCATCAAAGGATAGTGTGTGATTTAGCGCCAAATTTCCAAAACACCGATCAAAAGTATGTATGAGAGACAGTGCAGAGAATTTATGGTTTAATCTTGGGAGTGGAAGGTGAGACAATGAAGGTATCTTTAAACGAACAAGTTGCTCCTCCTTTGCGAACAAACTATTTGTAAGATAAAAGCTGATACTATGACGGCGCAATCCCCTAGAACAGCCTACCCTGATAACACAAAGTAATAACACAAAATCATAACTGGGATAAGCTTCTAAAAAAACTGTGGTGCTGCGTCAGTGGGGAGTGTAACAAGGTAATTTAGTTTTATCAACTGAGTTGATATTGTAAATTGGCCACCGTAAAGAGTTTCTAAAGCTGGCGTTTGGAGCGTTAACCCTTCGTCAGAGCGAAGAGCTAACGCTCGAAACATTTGCTTTAGAAGCTCTTTATCACTCAGCTATTCTAGGTGATTACTTCTCCATAGTTTTATAAGGTGAGAAAGCTCACCCATGGAAAGGAGGTTTAGTTAGTGTCTTAAAGTTGTAGATTAGCAGTAATGTTTTTGTGTTAAAATCTCATATTTTGCACTTTTGTGAAGTCAGCGTATTCGTGAGGAATTTAATAACTGAGTGTACAAATAAACATTTAAGATCAAAGAAAAGTTGTAATAAGAGAACCGAGACAACAGCAGAAATTTTTTCGAATTTGCTACTTACAATCAAATCAGAAGCACTGTTTGACGGAGCACACGCTAGGACGCGGCTGGAGGGGATTCTGTGAAAAATCTGAACAAAAAACAGAAGGCAGAAAAATAAATTACAGTTGAACACCGTACCGCACTGACATACGATGTTATCAACACTTGGATGATCTCAACACTTCTGGAGGATCTCAAAGATGCCAGCTGAATACAGCGGTCAAACGTCTGCGCATGTGCGAACGTTGTTGGTTGCCCTTCCTATTAAAACTAGGTCGTGCTCTCAGACTGTTTCCCTCAAGTTGCAAACAACCACAAAACTTGTATCAAGTTTCAATTGTCTTTCCCTTATTTGGCGAGACAGCTGTTGTTTCTCAATGTTTTCCTTTGAAATTTAAGCGGGAAATTGGCGCGTGGGCAGCCAAAATTGAGCCCCTTGCGCATGCCCGACGTTTGACCGCTGTGTTCGCTCCACCTGACACTGCATTTTTGACAATGACCGCTGACTACCATAAACTCGATCATGATGATTAAGTCGTAACGACAGTCAAGTTTTCGTTATCTTCTGGAAAGCGTTCCACTATTTGAATCAGCCTTAAAGTCTCGAAAGTTTTCTTTTATCTTCCTTTCCTTTTTTTCCTCTCCTTTTTTAGACGTCTGAGACGATAAGGACGAATATATCATAGAATTAGACCTCAAACCATTTCCCCTAATGATACAATTAAACCGTGGTTATACCTGAAGGATGGCTTCCACAACGGTAATCGTTTTCCCGGTGCCAGGAGGTCCAAACAGTAGGTATGGCGTGGGACGACATTGGCCACTTACAATACGACTAACCGCTGCCATCTGACGCTCATTAAGGGAAGGATTGTACAGGAAATCGGCCGGTTTGAGTTCCTTCGCAGACTCACTTTGTGTTCTTGTTGGTGAATCTGCTTGAAAATCAGTATTAGATGTATATAAGTTTAAATGAGAAGACAGATACTAAACCGTAGGCGGCCAAGTTGTCATGGACTCAAAATTGTTTCGTAAGATTACACGCACGATCGGGAAATTTCCAGTTAACCCTTTACACCCTAAAGTCATTATGTATATTCTTCATACTGTTCTTTAAACAGTTCCTAAGGTGCTGACAAGGAGTTTCTGTTTACTGATCAAAAGCTTCTTTTGTTGGTAATCATTTCCTTCATTCTCGTGACCTTAAAGTTTGATTCAGCGTTGATATTGTAGGGAAAAATTAGATGCTAGTCACTCTTAGGGTTTAAAAGGTCAAACTATCCCTTGGAATCGATTCAAAAACTATAAACTTGTTATTGGTAAATCATGCATTCAATTACACTTAAAAAAAAAAAGAAAACGGCCACTGTGGAAATTAAATCAAAAGTATTTCAATAAGAGTACGATGTTTGAACAGCACTTTTATAAATAAAGGTTAAAGTAGTGTACGGTTTCGGTCGGCTGCCTTCTCTCTTTGGCAGCTCTTAGAGAGAGCCCACTGCAACTGCAGTATCAAAAAGAAACACATAGGTTCACACATGTACCCAGAAGAACGAGAGGTAACTTCTGATAAGCAACTGACGGCCTTAGATGAATCAGATCAGATTTCGTTGGGCCTCAAAAATACCTTTCTCAATGTCAGTGTTCCGTCCTTTTGGTGACGAGATGGGCAATGTTAGAGTCAAAACTGGCAAATTTGGTGACAAATTCCTTGGAAATAATACTGTGTCAAAGAAGAAAAAGACAGAAATTGAACTTCAAAAATGATTAAAAAGAAATATGAAACAGCAGATTTATTGCATTCTAGAATATTGGTGAGCGACACTAATCCAGATTATAACACAGGGACAAAAAAAAGGTTTGAACACTGTAAACCCAGGATTAGTATCAACAAAGTATCCAAAAACCAGGATCAGGTCCCAAGGTCCGGCTTTGAATCTTCATTGGGTCAATTCTACTGTGTTCTTGGATAAGACACCACTTTCACAGTTCCTCTGCACTCAGGAGTTTAAACGGGTCTGTGTTGAGAATGCCACAGAAACCTGAGGGAAGACGAGAAGGAAGAACCCTGCCTGGGAAGGCAGAGCTGAATAACGTCTGCGCTTGCGCTAGGCTTCGGCGCGGAGAACGGATTTTGAGTCGTATGCACGTTTGATTTTCCGTTCTGCTGCTTCTAGACGCTGTTTCCCTTGACGCTTCACTTTTACAGAACCACCTCCATAAACTTTGTATACCCCTCTAAATATTTTCAAACCTCAATTGTCACCTCCAAAACACTGAAAATAGAAAAAATCCTTCAACGACGACAAAATGTCTCGGTTTTACATGCCAGTCCCTATTTTCCGCAAATTTCGTTGAGTTTTAAACCTGGCGCGCTTAAGCCCACGTTGTTGACCGCATACCTGTCAAATACATTTCGTTACTCAGCTCTGCCGCTCGGGGATACTACATTTGTAGCATCCCGTATGAAGGACGTAGTTGCACCCCGCATTCTAACCTATAATTAATACTCGCATGAAATGTCTAAATTCCAAAGGCCTGGAAAGAAACAGACAAGTATTTTTCGTTCTAATTTATCAAGAAAATACCTTGTTCACCCAGAGATACGGCAAATTCCACTGCACGGTGAGCTCTTCTCAGAGTAGTCCTTAGAAAAGTAAAAAGCACGATGGCTCTTATTTTTCATGTTGCATTTCCCGAACTCCCTACAGATATCAATAGGAAAGGGTTCCACCAACCCTTTTCCCCTAAGAGTGACCAATATCTAATTCCTCCTTACAGTATCACTGCTAAATCAAACAACATTACAGGGCGTGAAATTGCGCCTAATACAGGCGCCAATGCGACTAAATTTTTCACTTTGGTGACCAAATCCTGAAAGTTAGTCGCCAAATTGGCGACTAGAACGTTTCATCATAACCTTACCAAGAGATATAGTGAATTAAAAAGATTTGCAAAGATAAATCCGCGGCAAACTTCCTCGTTAAGTTTGTTTCCAAAACGTAGCACATGCATCTCGATCGATAACTAGACGCCATCTTGGATTTAGATGAGCCTGAACTTTGTATATCATCCATCCTAGTGTCCACTTTGTAGCACATTAAAGGTCTTTTCCCTTTGAAAATGGCGACCAACTTTTTTTGAATTGGCTACCACTTTGAAGAATTTAGGAGCCAAGTGGCTATCAGAAAAAAAAGTTAATTTCACGCCCTGAACAAGGTCATGAGAATGAAAGAAAAGATCACAAACTAAAGAAGATCTTGATTGTTCAACAAATTCTCCTTGTCAGCACCTTAGGAATCGTATAGAGAACAGTATGGAGATTATGCATACTGATATAAGGGTATAAGGAGTAAATATGTTATATTTCAACAAAGAAAAAAAATTGCTGACCTGTTAAAATAGAACATCACATCACACTTCTGCATGGCAAATCTGTTGTGGAAATCCTCGTTAAACTTAACCAGAATTTCATCCTTATGAACCTGTATATCAAGTGTGGGTACATAGCATAGCTTGTTTAATAACAATAAAAACATCAACATCAGAAGAACATGATTTTGAGTGCAAACAATACATGTACGCTCAGTTATCAAATCAAAATACACAAAAAAATACCTCATGAATATATCCTTCATATTTTGGAGACTCTGATGAAACACCTGGCATGAAGAGGAACTGTAATTATTTTCCATTATACTTACTATGAAAACTCTGATTGGTTGAGAACATACAGTCATACAATAGCGAGTAAAGTTGACACGGTAATCCAATATCTACTGCAGATATTGGGTTATCTTGTTGAGTTTAAAGTCTGCCTAGTTTCCAAGCCCCTTGTCTGTGTAGTGTTCTCAAACTTTGGCAAACTCAGAGAGAGAAGTGCCTTCTTTTGCAGATTGTTTAAAATGTATAATTACCAAACAATTCGTGAATTTACTTTTAGCATCTTTGCATTGTCCCCATCCAGTAATTACTTGTCATTGGCATTAGTCAAATAAGAGAAATAATGATTTGATGAGAAGAGTGAGTTGAACTCTTTTTAGAGCCTTACCCAGTCTCTGTTGCAGAAAGTGACCATAACCATTTCACCCCAACTAATACAGATGTACCTCCTAACCATGTTACAACATCACAACTTACTTCTCCTCCTGTATTTCTTAAGGCTTCCTGACAGTTTTGAAAAAGCAAGTTAATAAATAAACTTTGTAGAATGCCAAATGCATCGCGAATATGTCTACCTGTGAGTGATGCTAAAATCTTGTCACCAATCAGAAGGGAGGGTCTGCCCTCAGCCAACCCTGGTACATTGAGACTGAGAAATTCACCACATACATTCATGTTCACCTAAGCAGAAGACAAGACAATATATGATTGTTCTTCTCCGTAATCGTTTCACTCCCCCTTCACCAGCATTATAGTCCAAGTGCTTATCTTACCCCTTCCATATCAAATTCCCTCATGTCTATTTCCATTTGAAGCTCCTCAGCATAAAGAAGTGTTGAAAACCTTGCAGCATAGTTCTTCAAATTAACTGGCTGCCATAAGAAAAAAAAAGGACAAATCATTTAAGTGACCAGGCTAGCTGTCAAGCTGTCATTCATTCTGATGCTCAAAATGTCGGCTTTGAAACTCTTTACAGTGGCCAATTTACATTGAAGAAATGTAAAATGGTTTCCATGTTTACATAGCCTGATGTAAACACGCGTGAGGTTGGGAGAACACGAGATAAGCGTAGGAAACCACGACACGAAGCAGAGTGGTTTCCAACTTACATTTCTTTTATAAAATAACTGATGAAAGAGGAACAAAAACCGTGTTTACAAACGCTCATGTAAAATGGTTTTATGGCCAAACAGAGCACACATACTATTTGAATTATTTTATAATACCAACTTAGTTGATAATTATAGTGAATTATCCTGCTTTACTCTGACTCCCTCTTACACAGCACCACAGTTTCTTTGGAAACCCACCCCCTTTAGAACTGTCATATGGATCGGCAAAATTTGGAAAAGGACTGCTTAGAGTAGCTTTTAAGAGCCTTAATCCGCTGACATTTAAGAATGACCAGTATCTAATTTCTTCTTACAATATTACCCCTGAATCAAACAAAAAAGTCACGAGAATAACAGAGATAACCCCCAACTAAAGAAGCTCTTGGTTGTTAAACAAATTCTCCATGTCAACATCTAAAGAAATGTATGTAGAGCAGTATGGAGAATATGCATACTGGTGTTAAGGTGTAAAACATTAAAAAAGAGTAAAAGGATTTGTGATGACATACATCAAAGAATCTTATACCTCTCTTAATGCTGTCACAGTGGAACTCAGGTCTTCACCATCAAGTAAGCATCTCCTTATGTCTCTGGGAATATTGTACTGTAATAGCTTCTTGGGCAAGAATATTTTGCTTTTCCTTAAAAGTAACAACAAGGGTACATACATACATACATACATACATAAGCTTTATTTATCCTCGGATTTCAGTGTAGCTTACAAGCTAGTATCTCCGATCCTAATTACTAATTTTAAAAGTTACAGCAAGAACAAGGCTAAAAAAAGAGAAAAAAATAATTCATAATATAATAATATAATAATATAATAATCATTAATATAATAATATAATGTAATATTAATGTAATAGTAACAGAAACCGTGCACTAACAGTTTGCGCTTAAATTCACTATAATCTACAGTCTTTCTTAAGTGGTCAGGAAGGGAGTTCCAGTACTTAACAGATGAATAGCTAAAAGAATTTAGACCATATGTGGTTGTGTATGTAGCAGCACTAAACATGGGGCTTGAGGCAACAATTATACCTGATTGGTTTTTCTCCTGGTATTATCCACTCTTCTCCAGTGCTACTGTTGGCGACCTTCTTCCAAGCCTCTTTAGTTCTATGGTGAGACCTCTGATAAGGAGCCGATGGTTTCAGCACAGCTTGATTAGGGTCCTGCACATTACAAGCAACATATCGCCCAATCTCAAAGCCATGAAAGTTGAACACAAAAAGGTGATTCACTCTTCCCAAGGTTCTGACAAAAGAACAAAAGATGCTAAGACAGTATAATCCACCTATTACAGACAAACCCGCTCTGGGCTAATAGGAGGGAGGGGGGTTGCCACACCATCCCTTCCCTGTATACAATCTTTGGCATTTGTTCACCCCTGATAAACAAAATTACAGGCTTCATTCTATCAAAACATATTCCTTAAAACAGCTCAAAATACCATAGAATGAAAAATAAACTTATTTGATTAATTACTGTGAGTAAACAAACATCCTCTTACTTTGCCCTGAACTCAACAATAACTTGCTTGGCCTGCTGAGGATTAATTTCCATGCCTGGTGCCAACAAAGAACCATGAAGTAACACCTCATCAATGGACAAAGATCTGTTCTGCTGATGACTGCCATTATCATCTGATTCACAAAAAATTTTGTCTGCCAATTGAACAGAAAACTGAGGATCATCTCTGATTGATGAACAGGACTGAAATGTCTGTACTTTATCTCCCTTGTTGCTGTTACAAAAGAAAAATAGATAAATTAATAGGTAAATTAAGATTCCAAGATAAATGAATAAGGGGGCAAATTTCTTAGAAAACTGAACAGGGGCTGTAAGGTGAAACCCAAACAAAGGAGAATGCTTGCAGGCTAAACAGATGGTGTCAAAAGGTTTTATCAAAAGCAGTAGACAGCCACTAACCCACTATTATTGAAAGCCTTGAATATCAAGCAGACAGGTGATAGGAATAAAGAGAAATATCTAGTAGGGGATTGTTAGTGGACACAATACCAAATTCTCCAGACAAACATCTGAAGAATTGCACAGCAGATAGTAAGGAATACTTAGAAATGAGATCTTGGGAATATAAAGGTTAGTAATCTTCTCAAAAGGCACGTCTCCATACTTCCTTGAAGATGGCACCTTTGGTCTTACAAAAATTTGGGGATGTCTATGATTTGAGTCATGGATTGAAGTTCGTGAATGTCTAAAACTCAAGACATCTGTTCAACTGTCCTTACCTTATCCACACATGTAACAACTTTGTTTCTCCGACCATAACACTTCCAAAATCAAGTTGATCTGAAATTGTTACACCTTCTTTGTCTCTTAAAAGCTCAGCCATCCTATTACCCATAAACATTTGACTATGCGGTGATGGACTGGTTGATAAAATAAATAATTATTAGTAAAAATTCTACAATGCAAGATAAAGCCACTTGGATCATTTCTCTGAGCGCCAATTGTAGTATTCTCTTACCCTCTGACCACTAAAAGTTTATTTATAGGCAGTTTTTTGATTGAATTTCCCTTCAGGCTGACAAAAAGCTAACACTCAACATGTCAGCTTCATAAAAACTTCATGAAAGTCAATTTATATTATCAAGTCAGTTGATAACACAAAATTACAGTCAAACCTGTATTAACCCTTAACCCTTTAACTCCCATCAGTGACCAAGACATAACTTCTCCTTACAATATCAACACAGAATCAAGCAGACAAGTGAGGAGAATAAAGAAGAAATCTCAATTAGGGGACTACAAGTTGATCCAATACTAAATTCTCCAATTTGAAATCATACGTATTTTATGACAGACAGTAGGGAGAATTACTAATGAGATCTTGGGAGTTAAAGGGTTAAGCCACTAAGAGTGGCAAGTTTCTAATTTCTCCCAACAATACCAACCCTGATTCAAACATTCAGGTCATGAGAATTAAGGAAATAATCATGAACCCAAGACACTCTTGATTGTTGGACAAATTCTCCTTATAGGTAACATAGGAAATGTATAGAGAACAGTGTGGGGAAATTGCATACTGATGTTAGGGTGTAAAGGGTTAAGTGGTTGCCCACTACAGGTTCCTCAGCAAAGGGGTATTACGAAAAAAAAAATTTAAAATGCCTTTTTTTGCCATAATTGACCATTACATGTATAAAAACTCTCTCAAACACACTACTACCATCAATTTTGGGAGACAAACATGGATTTATTATATTTGAATACTATTTTTAGTTTTAGTCAAGTGATTCTGCTTTACAGTAAATCACTGCTCAATACAGGTGGAGATCAATACAAACAGGCTCAGACTCAGTAAAAGGTAACAACGGCTGCTTAACCCTTTAAGTCCTACTGGTGACCTAGAGAGAATTTCTCCTTACACAATCAGTATAATATCAAGCAGACAAGTGATGAGAATAAAGAAAAATATCAATTAAGGGATTATTGGTTGATCCAATCCCAAATTCTCCAAACTAACATCATATAAATTGTATGCAGAGAATTAAACTTTTTCAACCTCAAGACATAATAAACACACATGTATATTACTATAAATACTTCATCATCTCCATCCATATGGCAAGCTATGGAGCCTTGATTTTTCTACTCCAATTTATGGCCTTTGCATTTCACACTAGGGCCATGAATCTGAGCCTATAATTTACCGTACTGGCCTCAAACTCGGTTGGAAAGAAATATGTATTCAGAAAGGATCAACTGTAATACTTGATACCCAAAGCCCTTAAAAAAAACCGAAATTGAAAATACCTTGACACCATTGGAGTTGCACGTCTTGGTTCCACCTTAATGGCTCTCCATGCAGCATTACGTTGATGTGATTCAATGGCTGTCACTTTAACAACATCCCCTCGACGAGGCCTGAACCCCCGCGGACAAACCCCAATTGTAAAGAAGACTTCTTCGTCAACGTAACCAAACCCTGATGACACATATGTTACCGTCCCTTTGAAACTTTTCTCTCGGAGTGGCATCACCCCTTGGACTTCGTCTTGCCCATCTAACGATTTCTCGAGGTTCAACTTCACCATGTCTCCTTGAAATGGTGTATACCCAAATCTAACACACGATAGTGGGAAATGAATTTCATTATCTACAACCCCAGAATCATGAGCGATTTTTGTTATTGCGCCAATACGCGTTTCTGTACAAGATGAAGAGGCGCTGTTTGCGTCCTCGAGATTCCATTCCTTCATAACTTGCATACGCGTAGCTTTCCAGCCAGAAGTTTCAGACACGCGTGACGCCTCGACGTGAACTTCCATTCCAACTTCTGGTCGATCACCACCGATAATGCAATCAAAAGTGAAATAAATCTCTTCATCTATCACTCCAGAGCCATCATACAGCCTGGTCACTTTACCGAAGAGGTCTTTCTTTAATTGCGGCTCAGTTGTTTTGAGCTTCCCGTTGTAATCAGCTGTTTTATTCCGCGCTCCCGTTTTGGAAGCGTCGCCATTTTCATCCTCCGATGCTCCCCAAACGTATTCTGAAAGCTTCGTAAATAGCCCAAACATAGTCACCTAGCTAAAAGTTTCGAAAAACCTCACAATCACTTAAATTTCCACATAAAAAAGCCCGTGTACTTTGCGCATACAGTGAGCCGCCATTTTATTTGCTATGTTCGCTCAAGTTTCGCGCTCACTGTTTAGACGAGTAGGGACTGGTTACTAAAACTAAAAACAACTATGGCGGAAGAGGCTATCGGCGAGACTTTTTCAGCCTCCGAAAAAAACGTTGTAGTTTACGGAGCTGAAATACTTTAAAATCATATGATCCCCCATGGATAGCAGTGGCGATCTAGAGTGTATCTTGTTCTGTGAATTCCATCCTATTGCAGGACCTAAAATCGTTTACCAGGTTAAATGTTTGACACTTTACTAGCTGGACTTGAACTGATCTGATTGCGGTCGCTTGAAAAGCCCAAATATTCTTAATCTTCTCGACTTTCAGGTCCCAAAAGAATTCATCTCAAAGGAGGAGTTTGATTGCGTAGCTGTGTACATAATCCCGAAACCTGAGCTGCAGAGCAAGCTGATCACAGTGTAAGTTGGTAACTCACTCTACAGGTAGTTTTCGCTCATCCGAAAACGGTGGTGAGGAGGGGGGGGGAAGGAGGGGACATATTGTACCAGACATATCACCCATCAGTTATCACAGCTGCTGTAAAGACAGTTTTCTAAATTATTTTATGGGACGATTCCTTCATACCTGTTTTTTATTGCCAGAACAATTTTCTCTTAAATGCAGGGATGTAGATAATAGCCGGAAGCCGGGAAAATTACCCGGCTGTGAACGTGATTTTTCCGGCTGTGAAGCACTACTTCTTTCTCCAAAATGTTTTTAAATGTTGTCAGAAAATTGTTATTTATTTATTTCATTTTTTTACACCTTCAATTCTAGGTATAGCGTGCCAAAGGCACGCTAGAGTAGGCCTTCGGCCCAAATACCCGCCTATCATTGCAAGATTTCCGCCTGTTAAAAACTTTAGCTACATCCCTGTAAATGTTAATTAATACTTTAGATGTCATGACTCTTAAAATCTAGTTGAAGTTAGATAGGGCATGAAATTCTTTTCCTATTGTAAAATCAGGATTTTTATTAATTTTTTATTTTTCCTTTTTTTTAGGAATGCTCTTGATCACAAGTTTGTTGGTTGTCCAATCAGTATAGAAAATGCCAAGTATTCCCGCAATGCCCTTGTTTTCAATGTATGTTTTGTTCTCCGCCCTACTGTTGACACAATTCGCTTTGAGGGTGTGGTCAAGAAATTGGCAGGATATATGACATCACTTGAGGTAATGAACCCTTTACACATTAATATCAGTGTATATATTCTCCTTATTGATCTCCATACATGACCTAAGGTGCTGAAAAGGAGAATTTGTTTAATGTCTTTAGTTGGTGATTATTTTCTATATTCTTGCAACCTTAATGTGTGATTCAGGGGTGATATTGTGAAGAGAAATTAGTTGCTAGTCACTCTCAGGGGTTAAAGGGTTGAGAGAAGAAAAATATTTTATCATAATTTGACAGTTTCCCTCAATCCATTTGCTTATTAACTGAACTGAACTGTTTGCCTCTTTCCGTACCTGACCTTCTTTACATTATGGAGGCTACAATGATGTATAAAATCATAAACACCTTTGTTCCCCAGTATTTGACCAAGCTTTATCATATTTGTTCCAAAGTGTATAGATATAGTACTAGGAACAGACAGCTTAAGCCTACCCAAATGCAGCACCTCATTCACACAACAATCCTTTATACATCATGCAGCAAGAGTTTGGTACACTGTCCCTTCTAATATCCAGTCTAGTTTCAATGTAAATCTATTTAAGTTTAATTTAAAGAAATGTTTATTGTCCAAGTTTTTAAATAGCTAGTTTTAATCATTATTATCCTTAACTAATATAATTGTTCTAATAGTTAATATTAATATTGTACTTTGTAAATTTCAACTATATTATTCTTTACATCTTAATGTAAATTTATCAGGAAGATCCTCCTCAAGGAGGGTTAATAATGTCTAAAAGTGTATTTGTATTTGTATTTGTATGTTTGTTGTTTCCTTTCAGCTTGAGTATGGACTAATATCACAAGAGGAAACAAAAACTTCTCTTCCATCCATACTTTCAGACATCTTTGTTGAGCTCAATAAAAATGGGAAATGTACAATACAAATAGGTAAAATTATTTTTGCTGATTTAATGAGTCAAATACTGCTATCAAAGGCACACTCTTTTCAAAGAGTTTGTGTCAGTAAATCAGATTATTTTGAGTGCAATTTGGAATAAATAAGCAAGTGGAATAAATTTTTCAAAGTAATTAAATATTATCAACAGAGTTGATAATGTAAATTTGCCAATGTAAAGAGTTTCAAAGCTGATATTTCAAGTGTTAGCCCTTTGTCATAGTGATGCAATGTCAGAGCTTTGAAACTCTTTACAGTGGCCAATTTACGTTATCAACTCAGTTGATAATACTAAATTACCTTGTTATACTCTCCCACCGACGCAGCACCACAGTTTCTTAACCCTGTAGCTCCCAGAAGTGATTAATATGTAACTTCTCCTTACAATATCCATACATTATCTAGCAAACAGGTAATGAGAATACCCAAACTTATCTGGTAGAAGTTATTATCTTGATCAAGCATCAAATCCTCATAACTAACCTACAAAGAAATGTGTAGCAGCCAGAGGGAAGAACTGGCAATTGGATCTTGAGAGTTAAAGGGTTAAGAAACTTACCCCCTTTATACATTTCCCAAAGACTATCACCGGCCAAAATCAGTGTATTAACCCAGGAGATCACAATGCATGGTTTATTTATTAATTCCACTGGTTTCATTAAAATATGGTACCAAATGGTTAGTTTAGAAAAGTCTTCCTCAGAAAATTTTAAAGTTCTAGGTTCTTACTGTAGCATTTTCCTGTGTTTTGAGGTAACTTACATTTTATGTTGTGAAACTTAACCTTTTTCTGTTGTCAACTCTTTCTCCTTCTTTTCCTTTAGATGAGACTAACACTATTCATCTGAAATGTAATGTAGCCTCTAGCACTGAATCATACTCAGTGTTGGATCATCAAGTGCCAGTGTTCATTTGTAATAAGGATGCTTTGACATCTTCTGAGTGGGATATTACAACACAACAGGTCAATAATCTTGGTATCTTTCCTTTATACTTCACACTGTCTTACAACATGTCATAGGAAAGGGGGAAGGAGTTTAGTTATCTTAAATGAGAGGATACATGAACAAAACAAAACAAAACAAAAAACAGGAAGTGATCTATCACAGACTACTACACCCTGGCCTGTAGATTCTCCTTTTTAGATTGCCATGTATTTCCCTTTGAAACGTAGGGAGAAATTTGTTTCATCAAACGTTGCTCACTGTAGGACTTTGTTCCAGACACCTTTTCTTTAACAACTAACTGCTGAGTGTCAATGACACTTAGTTTTTTTTACTGGAAATTTGTATTCAAGGTTTCTATTAGCTGCTAACAGTTTGACTAAAATATTTCATTATCCTAGATTCTGCCATATATTGATGGTTTCAATCATGTCCAAAGAATTGCTGGTGAAGCAGATGTTGAGATCAGTCTTGTGCGAATGTGTATTCAGGACATGGTGTATGAACAACTTTATTTTATTATTTTTTTAATGAATATAATTGATTTTGATGCTAAACTTTCAATAGGGCCCTTTTCAGCTGCATGTCAAAAAACCATTATCAGTACTAAAGCAACTACCAGGGCTAATTGGAAGAAAGGAATTTATCTTGCACAGTCGATGAGAACTCAAAGTAAAACTGACCAAACTGCCTATTTAAGTGCAGAAATATGTGGGTAACCAAGTCTTGATTGCTCTTAGTTTTGCATCTGATTGGTTGAGAAAGTGGCATGAGTTTTCTAGACCAATCACCATCAAAGCAAAGTGCAATCTCAGATAAATTTGAGCAATCAATCAAAAGGGTCTCTGATATATAGACAGTCAAATTTTGTGTTAGGAAGGCAGGCAGAATCAGTTAGGTTCATTTTTTTTTAACTCTTTAACTCCCATGAGTGACCAAGAGAGAATTTCTCCTTACAATATCAATACAATATCAACCAGATAAGTGATGAGAATAAAAAAAATATCAATTTGGGGATAATTACTTGATCCGATACTAAATTCTCTGAACTAACATTATAAGAATTGTATGGTTGACAGTAAGGAGAATTACAAATTTGATCTGGGAGTGAAAGGGTTAATGCCATTTGAACTAAGAATGAGCAAATTCTTGCCAGAGTTTCATTAGAATACAGAAACTTTCATATTTATCACCCATAATTAACTCATGGTTTATAGTAACCTGAGCAATTTGTTCAAATCTTAAAGATGCAACTGTTCTTTTATTTCACAGTCAGCATAAAGTGGTGAAGTTAATTCCTATTTTTCAGGCAAGTATTTTCATATTTTGTTTATTGCCAATTAATGTGTTCTAACACAGCACTGTAGCATCCCAAGGACCTAAACTCTATCACAAAAAAAATTTGGAATACTCTTACTAGTGCTGAAACACGTTAAGTCAACAATCTGACATTACCAGTATTTTGTCTTTTTTCTGTGATATTTGATCTAACTTCATTCAACCCTTTGACTTCTAAGAGTGACTGGCATCTAATTTCTCCACACAAAATCACCCTTAAATCAAGTATGAAGGTGATGAGAATAATGGAAATGATCACCAATTTAAGAAGCTCCTGATTATCACACAAATTCTCCTTGTCATTATTGAGGAAACGTAGTGAGAACAGTGTGGAGAATATTGATACTAAAAAAAAAACGTTAGGATGGAAAGGGTTAATCAAATGTATACCAATTGTGTTTCAGTACTCCAATGTGTACATTCCAACACCAGAAATAAATCAGCTAACTCACGATAAGAGATTACAAGAGGAATGTCTCGACTACGTTGGAAAAAAGGGTAAGAATGGTATGTTATTTTATTGAAATCATCACCCATGGAGAGTTTAACAGGAAAGGTAGCCAAGAGATTCTCCTTAAAAGACAATCAGGGGCCAAGAGGCCCAGTGACTAAACTGCATCTCGCTGAGCACAAAATGACCAGGACTATTGCTACTCTTCCCCCCCCCCATCCTCAGATGGGATGCCAGTCCATCACAGACTACCCTTCCCTTCCTTACTTCCTTAAAGTATTTTTTTTAGGTTCATCCCAAAAGTTTCTTTTGTGGTATCTCTTTGCTTTACTCTAGTGCACCATCCTTTAGGTACAAGGGATAAGGAGATCTAATTAATTACAAACAATATTACAATAATATTTATAGGTCGAACTCTGCCTTCATTCCGTGATGTCTTTATGCTGTATTGCGGGCTCAGTCCAGGGGCAACCGTGAGAGATCTGTGCACAAGATACAATCCTGGTAATCTGCGCGTTGATGAGAGGTAATGACTAATTTTTCAGCTTAGGGTGTCCTAAAGACTCTTTCACAGTCACTGAAATTAGTCTTTTTTATGACTACTGTCATTCGCACGATCGCGCTACACAATCAAATTAAACTTCTGAAAAATTGTTAACCAAATGTAATTTTGTCCTGTAGGCGATTGATACAATTCGGTATGGTGACTGGAATTATTCGCCGTCTCCACAAATACCCAGTACAACTGACAACACCCAAGACTGCCTCATTACCAAAAAGCCATCACAGGATGAGAGGCAGACATCGAGATTCAGATGCTAACAGATTGAAACTTACAGCCAAGTGAGTTATAATAACAGTGCACCTCAACAGATATGCGCTAATGATTTAGTAAACAACGGCGAAATGCAAATCAGGGAAAACAGGGCAAGTTAAGTTGGCGATCAAAAGACTGAAAAAGTTTTATTTTGGTCAAATTCCAAGAGCAAACTCTGCATAGTTCATTTCGCAGTATGATTTCCAATGAGTAAGAAAAGAAGAGTTTTGATGACTAAGGAAACCTTCGCCGTCATGTACATAACTCAGTTAGCGCCAACTTTTATCATTTGACAGATGGTTGGATGGAAATCACAGTTACGATGAAATATGCTGTAAAACAGGTACTGAGAATTTTTTTTGGTTTGTGTTTAATTTTTTGTTTGTTTTTGTACATTTGTTTATTTTTGTCTGTTTTTTGGTATCTTTTTGCATCCATATCTTAGTAAACATGATTGCTGGGTTCTTGATAAGGAGAAATACAGGAATGCCTTCTTATTAGATGTTTAAGATTGGGTTCATGCGTAGTGTAATTCGTATAACAAGTGATGGATGCATGCAGAAAGATTGGAGAGCGCGACAGTAGCGTAGGAGTCGCTTGAGACGCAGCCCAGAGCTACTCTAACTTCTTGAGCGCTCTGCAAATTTTTAACTGCATCCATACCTCGATATACGCACGATAAGTAGGAACTGAATTTCAAATATCCCATCTTCTACAACTGACGAGTTCTTGATTTCAGGCTTAACATATCAAGAAGTAGACGATATCGTCGAACTGGATCCTCATATCGTTGTTATCTGGAAATAATACACGAAATACCGAGACAACTGGATCTATTCGGAATTATTTCAATCACCGAAGATTTTTCACACACAATAGCAGCGTCTGCAATGTAAATATTTGAATTTGAGAATTTTTTTTTTACAATCGATGATGTTTATATAAAGTGTAATAAAGAATTTGATGAATTCAACATATATTTGTTGTTTATGCTCTATATTTTGTTTTATCTTGACTTATCCGGGTGACTTTTTTCAAGATTTCCGCTGCGTTATTCGTCGCGGTTCTCTCCCATAATTGAAAAAGAATTTCCCTGACTTGAGAGAAGAATCAACAGAATAGAAAGCTTGAAAAAAAAACTGACCAATCTTGAAGTGTTGCGGCTGTTTTTTTAGGGAAATTATTTGCGCAATAAGAATTCGACTACCATCCCACCTTAAGGCAGACTTTAACCCTCCCATTTAACTTGCCGAACGTTCAAATTTTCCGATGGTATGATGATCGAAAATTGTGAAAGACCCAAACGCAATTTGAAGTTATCATTTTGAGGTTGAAAAACTAAACTGGACCCGCATTTCTTGATACGCGTGGATGTGGAAAGGCGGAGTCGAGCAAATATGTGTTTTTTTCTTTACATGTATAATGCAGTAATTTGACAGAAAAGAAATAACTTTCTTTTTTTCTTTCTAAGACTGTGAATGACCGGCAGAGGAAAAATAAGTTTCTGAGGACTTACTGAACAGCAACCGAAATGATTGTCTCGTCGATCACGGAGAGTTATACACAGTTGCTGTCAGGAGAAGAGCGTTTAAGTGCACGCCACAACCCCGGAAGTTGTAACTAGATTTCAGGTCTCCCTTTTCAAAGAAATCTAAGAAAACGTCACTGTAAGGAAGAGGCACAGCGGGTTTGATGAATTGTCTTTTTTTCTGTTTTTTTTTTCACAAGACAGACTTTTTACTCTAAACTTGATGAAAAACGTAGGAAAAGGACGAACTGACCCTACTTAACGACGAAAACGATGTAAACTTAATGAGAGCGAATTCGAAGCGAACCTAACATTCTATTGTTCTGTTCCTCTCGTATTCACGTGTATGTCGGTATTTACCCCTCTTAGAAGTCCCTTCGTCCATATTTCCTTGTTTTACCCAGATTACCATTCGAGATTATTCCGTGTACCTAGGGCGACCTCAATGTTTTTTAATTCCGATGGGATGGTGCCTGTGTCACTTTTTATGATAAAAGGATAGTAGCGTTTCTCGGAATCGAGGATGTAGGCTACTAATGACCCGGAAAGGACCATTACAAATTTCAAAATATTTCCCAACTCATGATTTCAAAAAAAATATTTTACTCAAAATGGGGGTATTACGGGAGGCGCCGACGAAACCCTTTTTTCCAGAAAAAATAGTATCTGAATGGGCAAAAATAAGCGTTGGCGAGTGCTTCTCCTCCCCTTCTCCCCAAGCTCCCCCCCACCCTCCCCATTCTCCTCAGACCAGAAACATTACCACCGGAAACTCGACAGTATCATGTATGCTGTCCATTTGGCTTTGAAGCAACATTTTATGAAAGGTGATGTAAGTAGTTCCCAGTCTTTGGCGGTTATCATGAGACGTGCCGGAAGCAAATTCTTTGGCAGAGGCGTAGTAGCTGTGCTCACTCATTGTAAGGTCAAAACCCGATTAGCTCCAAAAGTTTGTAAAGGTTCATTGAAGAAAACTAGGCTCATGTCCCGTGTTTCTGTTGAGCAATCTTTCTCCTACCAGTCACTTTTTGAGGTGGTGAGACAGGAAGATTTTTTGGCAATATTTGAGAATGCTGCTCTAGACTTGCAAATATTAATTTACGCTATCAGTAAGGATTTACATCGAAGGTTCGAGAGTGTGGTTTTCATGAGTTGGCTGTTGCAATGCAACCGTTTCCCTTACAACGAACAGATCACAAACGAATGGTTTCCATATCATATTCTTGGCGAATCAGGACAAAATGTGATAAATACTTTAAACGTGAGCCTGAATGAAGAAGAAAGGAAAGATTGGCAAAATGGCAAAACATCGTGGAGGAAAAAGCTGGACTTCCAAACTTTGACGGTACACCGTTTTTTCATGGTACTAACCACGAATCTGCGCTCAGCATCTTGCAGGAGGGAATCGATATCACTCACGGCGGACAACGACTCGACTTCAGTGATGGGGAAGGATTTTATATCACGAACGATTTCTCTGAAAGTATTCAATATGCTGAATTTGCTAGATCTCGCGGTTCTGCGAACCACGCTAATTTGGGAGCAGCAGTTCTAATCTACGATGTTAATGAAGAGGAATTAAACCAAAATTTCCGTGGACTTAAACTAAATAATGATATTTATTTGTGGAGAAAAGTGGTAAAAGAATATCGCCAGAAAGAAAAAGGAAGAATTGATCGTGACTTCCGCGAAGAGTTGGAAGTTTACAGCTTTATTGAAGGACCTTTGTCTAGAGGATTTACAGGAAGCGAGTTTCAACAAGATTCATCTAACAAACGCCAGCTTTGCATTAGAAGCTTTAATTGTGCGCAAGAGTTTTTTGACCGAAAAATTCACTCCGTAATTTTCTTCGAAAAACCGCCACAGTTGGTGAATCCTTAAGAAGTGAGAGTTTTGTTTGGTAACAATCTAAACTTTAGCATAATTATTTGCTTCATAAAATCATGTTCTCACGAGTAAATAGAGGTTTATATCCCATGTTACTAACTTTAAAGAGCTCCATGGAGAGGTAATATTTCACTCCGGGTCTGAACTATAGTACATCCATGAGGATCCATGGAGGGATGTATTGGCCAACTCAGGGAATCTTCTACGGTGTTAGGGAGCTGTTATGTTGAACTTAAATGTAATCCAAGTTTACTAGAGTCACATACTTAGCCCGCAGAAGAGGGAAACATAATCGAATTATGGTTAAAAAAGAGCTTAAAACACTCGATTTTCTTACATAAACAACAGCATATTTTAATCAGAAATGACATGGAGGGGATCCAGTGTAGATGATTACGATTTTACTTTGTGCAAATGTTGCTGTTCAATGTTGCACGCTTGCCTAAAATTCTGCAAACAGTTGAAATCAAACGGTCGTGTCCGCTAATGTTTACTTTACTTTGCTCACAATTTTATACTTCGCTGTTACTTAGCCACTAAAGTAATTTCAGTACCTTGAAGGAGGAGATCGACTAAATTTAGTTGCAACCCAGGAAGATAACAAACATGATAAGCAAAACTGATATCAGTCTCAGATAGGGAGAGTATGTATTTCTCCGAATATGGTCTTTCACCCACGTTTCCAGCAGAATGTAAAGCTGCAAATAAGGGTTCTCACAAAAATTTTGGTCCGATGAAACCGGCGGTCAACAAGCTGACCTTCTACACATTTTATTCGGCTTGGAGGTTCAGAAAGGTGATTCAGGTATGGAAGAGCAAAACATTGTTCATGCTAAGCGACGCGAAAGCTTTTGTCTCACTTAACGGGCAAACAGACAACTCTGTCTTTTGCGAACAGAAGAAATCAAACGGTCGAGCCCGCTAATGTTTACTTCACTTTGCTCTCAACTTTATACTTCGCAGTTACATAGCCACTAAAGTAATTTCAGTACCTTGAAGGAGGAGATCGACTAAATTTAGTTGCAACTCAGGATGATAGCAAACACGACATGCAAAACTGATATCACACTCTCAGCTAGGGAGAGTATGTAAGCTTATTTATTTCTCCGAATATGGTCTTTCACCCACGTTTCCAGAAGAATGTAAAGCTACAAATAAGGGATCTCACACAAAATTTTGTTACGATAAAAGCGGCGGTCAACAAGCTGACTTTCTACACATTTTATTCGGCTTGGAGGTTCAGAAAGATGATTCAGGTATGGAAGAGCAAAACATTGTTCATGCGAAGCGACCCGAAAGCTTTTGTCTCACTTAACGGGCAAACAGACAACTCTGTCTTTTGCGAACAGAAGAAATCAAACGGTCGAGCCCGCTAATGTTTACTTCACTTTGCTCTCAACTTTATACTTCGCAGTTACATAGCCACTAAAGTAATTTCAGTACCTTGAAGGAGGAGATCGACTAAATTCAGTTGCAACTCAGGATGACAGCAAACACGACATGCAAAACTGATATCACACTCTCAGCTAGGGAGAGTATGTAAGCTTATTTATTTCTCCGAATATGGTCTTTCACCCACGTTTCCAGCAGAATGTAAAGCTACAAATAAGGGATCTCACACAAAATTTTGTTACGTTCAAAGCGGCGGTCAACAAGCTGACTTTCTACACATTTCATTCGGCTTGGAGGTTCAGAAAGGTGATTTAGGTATGGAAGAGCAAAACATTGTTCATGCGAAGCGACGCGAAAGCTTTTGTCTCATTTAACGGGCAAACAGACAACTCTGTATTTTGCGAACAGAAGAAATCAAACGGTCGAGCCCGCTAATGTTTACTTCACTTTACTCTCAACTTTATACTTCGCAGTTACATAGCCACTAAAGTAATTTCAGTACCTTGAAGGAGGAGATCGACTAAATTTAGTTGCAACTCAGGATGATAGCAAACACGACGTGCAAAACTGATATCACACTCTCAGCTAGGGAGAGTATGTAAGCTTATTTATTTCTCCGAATATGGTCTTTCACCCACGTTTCCAGCAGAATGTAAAGCTACAAATAAGGGATCTCACACAAAATTTTGTTACGATGAAACCGGCGGTCAACAAGCTGACTTTCCATACATTTTATTCGGCTTGGAGGTTCAGAAAGGTGATTCAGGTATGGAAGAGCAAAACATTGTTCACGCGAAGCGACCCAAAAGCTTTTGTCTCACTTAACGGGCAAACAGACAACTCTGTATTTTGCGAACAGAAGAAATCAAACGGTCGAGCCCGCTAATGTTTACTTCACTTTACTCTCAACTTTATACTTCGCAGTTACATAGCCACTAAAGTAATTTCAGTACCTTGAAGGAGGAGATCGACTAAATTTAGTTGCAACTCAGGATGATAGCAAACACGACGTGCAAAACTGATATCACACTCTCAGCTAGGGAGAGTATGTAAGCTTATTTATTTCTCCGAATATGGTCTTTCACCCACGTTTCCAGCAGAATGTAAAGCTACAAATAAGGGATCTCACACAAAATTTTGTTACGATGAAACCGGCGGTCAACAAGCTGACTTTCCATACATTTTATTCGGCTTGGAGGTTCAGAAAGGTGATTCAGGTATGGAAGAGCAAAACATTGTTCATGCGAAGCGACCCAAAAGCTTTTGTCTCACTTAACGGGCAACTAATCACTGAATAAAATACTTCTCAGTCTACTTCATGATGTATCACTATTTGCATTTTTGACAAACATCATCTCAGACAGATCCAGAATCTTGCATTCATCACTATCGTACTACTCGTGCTCACCATTGCTCTAAATTCAGACAAATCCAGAAAACTCTTTCCCATCCTTCAACCTTTGTATGTTAGTCTTCACAGAGTTTGTCTCTAGTTGTAAGCACATCTAACATAGTCCCTCATCAATAAGATGCATTTGGTATTTTCTCGAATGACTACTGTTTCAGCCTGAAGCTGAAATATCCAACTGAGCTCAGCCTAGTTGTAAATCATTAATCTTTACCTGCATATAATCATATCTTCTAAATTCTTTCTCTGTAAACAAATACATTACAAGACTACCCTACCATATGTACACGTACAAACTATGTTCAGTCACAATTAGAGAATCAAAGGGCAAACAGACCATACCTGCTGATCAAGCATCTACTCGGTCAATTTCATTTTCGTAACAAACAACAAAATTCAAAGCTGAACAAGTCAAACTTCGTGATTAAAAAAAACCCTTCGATCATGAAATAGTTTGTTCTCTAAACACTGGCTTGCTGTCTTTGGAAGTTACAAATTAGTTTTCGCATGTGATAATTGCTCGAACGACTACTGTTTCAGTCGGAGGCTGAAACATTCAACTAAGCCTGTAGATCATTATTCATTATCGGTATAGAATCATATCTTCTAAATTCTTCCACTGTAAGCGAATAAATAACAAGACTACCCTACCATATATACACGTACGTAGTTGTTATTGTGTGCAGTCACAGTTAGACAATCGCGCTACGAAACAATCCATACTCTCTGATCAAGCATCTACACGGTCAATTTCATTTTCATGACAAACAACAAATTGATAGTTGAACAAATGAAGCTTTGTGATAAAAAAAGGAAACCTTCGATCATTGAATGGTTTGTTCTCTAAAACACTGGCTTGCTGCCCTTGGAGGTAGCAAATTAGTTTGAAACACACACAGTCTGTATCTAGTCTGACAAAAATTAGTCAGAGAATTGATCGAGGACTGAGCTGTTGCCGGACCCAGCGTTTTTCAGTTTCTTTTAATATGCATGGATGGTCATAGCTTTATATTGAAAAAATCCATGCACTAAAGACACGTTGAAGTCCGTGCTTGATATGGCTCTTGTGCCGAATTATCTTGGTAAAACAAGATGGAATGAAGACTCTCTTCAAACTTTTTCGCCAAGTCTCTTGAAATCAAACACATCTGGTACGACAGTGGTATCGCTTTGTACTCCAGATGGCCGCTTGCGTTGCTGACTTCTGCCACAGAACCTTCGATCAAGTCGTAATTTCTCGATATCTCCCGTGTCTCGGCCGACTGTTTTCCAGATCGAAACAAAGCTACGATTTCCCTCCACTTTTTGGGAGTTCTCATGGGAACGCAAATCCAATCTCCGAACATTTTCATTATTCTCGAACTCACTATGCTTCAGTCGGAATACCAAAATGGCTGGCTTAACTGTCTTCCTCTTCGCCCACCTGAAGGCATCCTCAAATGTTTTCGTTAAGTAGAACCCTTTTCCAGAGCTGAAATCTCGTTTCTGCCCTCCTGCCGGTAGATGTATGCCACGACCGGATAAGATGTCGACAGCACTTTCATGATCTGTACCGTGATACAAGTCCTCGGACTGTTCTTCTATTCCTCTAGGAATCTCTCTCGCAGCGATCCAATTATTGAGATTCATAACGATAACGTGAGAATCTTCAATCATCTTTCCCTCGGAAAATAAAGGCTCAAACCATTCTTTTATTTTAGCACTCTGAAAAGGAAACTCGCTTCTGACAAGCTGGTTGTCATCAGAATTTAAGAGTGGGTTGTATTTAAACTCGTCTTGAACAAAGATTTCAGCCCAAGCGCACGAATCAATGTGTTGTGGGTGACCTATCGCACGCTGTATAATTACATCAACAGCCGAACTCAAAGGATCGAATCCGATATCATGAAGCAGTTCTTTTGTAAGAGAGTTTTTGCCCGACAAATCAGACAATGCCGTGAAGTTGTTCCTCAAGGAAATAACTATCCAGTCACATAGTGTCCTATGATGTCGAAGTTTCTCTGGCATGTCTTGAAGATGGTCGAGGAAATCAATTTTAAGACCGAGGCAAGAACAAACACGGACTGTTTCTCTTTCCAGACAGTCACGATCTTCCTTCAACATTTTAAAATAAGCTCCTTTGATATCTGATAACAAGCACTGCAAAATGATTTTAAATCTAATGGCACCTAAAGCAGGTAAGAGAAATTGGAAGCCTTCTTCAATCCCATGTAACACGCGTGGCAGGTGCCTCAGTCGTCTTTTCAAAGCTTCCGCGCGATGAACTGCTTCCTCAACGAAGTGTTCGTCGACATCATTTTCTTGATTTTCATTTTCCTTTTGAACACGTATTCGTCGTAACCACAGCTTTAGGAACAAGGAAATGCGCTCAAGTTGCAAAGCTACCAAAGGAATACTGGTCAAATTTCTTTTTTTATGAACCTCTCCTTTTCCCTGTTTATCCGACGACGATGATGTTGCCTCTTCATTTTCAAAGAAATTTTCTGTGTCCCGCTTTGAAGTCTCGAAATTAAATCCTTTTGTGTCAATAAAGGATTTCAAAGCAGCTTCGAAGCGCAGTATTTCGACGTCCATATCTTGCGCTTCCCGTTTACATCTGCGCTGACTACGTGACTATTATTTTGCACTCAACCAGCCGACATTCCCCAGATGTCAATCATGATGACACTACTAAACGTATGAAAACAGATCTAAATTTTGGTGAAGGGTGAAAATGCTATGTAATTCATGAGTATTATCATGATTTTAATTTGTTCACTCGTATCCCAGGCCGACGAATATTCGTATTTTGAGCCCTAAGTCGCTGAGAGGCTTCCTAGAAACAATCGTTACTAAGTAAAATAATAGTTGGGAGAAAACAATCGTTACTTAGAAATGCTGACATTCGGTAGGGCTACAAGGTTTGGCGTAATTTGATTGGTTGACTGGTTACCACACAGGTATGTAGTGCTTGTAGCGCACGCTGACCGGCTACTTCGGAAGTGATAAGCAAGTATTATTCACCTCTGAGAAGACGAAGAAACGAAATCGCGAGTCAAGACTAATTTCCGACCATTTATTGGTATATTAACAGAATTAAACCAATTTGTTAGTTTCTGTTTAGTATCTGATAAACGACTATTCACCTCACCGTCGGTGATTAATTGATAAATATTGTTTATGGTTTTAGAATATTTTTACTTCAAGAGAGAGCTTGGGAACGAGGTTGGAGTCAGTCGGGGGAAGAACTGTTACATAGACCCTTTTCCAGAGCTGAAATCTCGTTTCTGCCTTCCTGCCGGTAGATGTATGCTACGACCGTTTAAGATATCGACAGCACTTTCATGATCTGTGCTGTGATACAAGTCCTTAAACTGTTCCTCACTTTCCCTTGGATCATTGAACATGAGGAGCTTTGGCCCCGAAAAAATTCGCAGCATGCATTCTACGGAGGCGCTATATTTCTGTCATCAGTGTAGAGAATCGCGGTCGGTAGGTGTCTATGCGGTTACTTAAACCTGGCTGTGATTTCACTAGGCCGATTAACTAGCTGAACATTCTTTCTAGGTGTTTGTTTACAGACCGACATTTACTAGTTAAACTCCAAGCCGTTTACTCAGAAGATTCAAATTACAAAAGCGCGCAACTTTAAAAAAAAAGCGGGAGACGAAGCATTTTTAATGACTTCTCTTGTGCTGATAATCGCCATATTTCTTCGAAGGAGACGACGTTTCTTTCAGAGGGTGCGACTAATGTCTCGAGGAATGGAGAGGACGCGACGGATTATGGTAATCCGGACAATCCAAAACACCCGCTATCGCCGTAACCAGAAGACAGTGTGGGTTAATCCAAGACCACAGTTTTGGTTTGAACAGCTCCTTTTAAACCGATATCAAGATCATCTATGGCGAGAGCACTTCAGGAAACAAGGCAAGCAATACAGAAGGCAAGCAATACAGAAATTTTAAGACATCAGTCACTTCCCTCAGGTTGTAGGAGCACTTGATGGGTCTCATATACCAATGAAAGCCCCGAAAGAAGAACCAAACGAGTACGTAAATCGAAAAAGCTTTCATAGCATTGTTTTGCAAGGTGTTGCTGATGCTAATAGAAAGTTCTTGCACGTGAGTACCGGCTATGCAGGGAGTATTCACGATGCTCGCGTGCTACGAATGAGCTCCCTACTCACAGCAATAGAAGACGGCGATATTTTGCATTCCCCATTGCGTCGGATAAGCGGTATGCAGGTTAATCCACTTATAGTTGCTGACCCAGCTTACAAACTGACGACCTGGTGCATGAAACCTTTCCCTCAGACCAGAGCCCTGACCGACCGGCAGAGAGATTTTTATAAATCCCTGAGCAGTGCAAGGGTAGTTGTTGAGCAGGCATTTGGACTGTTAAAAGGGAGGTGGCGGTGTCTACTGGATAAGCTGGATGAATCAGTGGACAAAGTACCCTCTACAATTATTACCTGTTGTATTCTACACAACATATGCCTAGAGGTCAATGATGGCACCGAAATTGATGTCGCCAATGATGAGGATGGGTTTCTCGGAGTTCCCCTCCCAGGCCATGATATTAATGCGGATGGTGCAAGACTAAGGAACACTATAAAAGACACTTTGTACTGAAGCTTTAATAATATGAACTCCTTCATTTACATTTCACTTATTCTTTGTCTTTAAATTCCTTTAAAAAATGGATGACACTGTAAAATTTTCAATTGGGACTTCTTTGATGTCCATGAATCATTTGGAATATGGATTTAAGTAGTCAAAAGGTGAATCCATAGTTCACTTCAATCAAGTGAAACAGTAACGATAACTGCAAAACAAAAATGATCTATAAAATAACGATAAAACAACAATAACAGCAATAAATATCCCTGTACATGATGTACAAAATCTTACATTTATGTCCAGAGTTCTCATTCCTAAGTGTCCGCTTTGAAAATTCTTGCAATATCCCTCACGGCATCAAACATTAGTTTCTGACTTTTCAGTTCTTGTTCTGCCTCTCTCTCGGCGAGGCGCTCAAAAAATTCATGGTCCTTGGTTTGACTTTTCTCTAGGAACTCCACCAAATCGCCTGTCTCAGCAGATGATGTGGCCTTGGATTTATTTGCGGCGGGCTTTTTCCCTTTGCTTGCTTTCGCACGTTTATGGCCTGGTTTTAAGGTCTTCTCGAACTCCATTTCCAGTTGATCCTCATCACTCTCGCGGATTGACGGACCGGCGTTCGGTGAATCTTCCTCGTCACCCGTTTTAGCGCTGGTATCATCAGCGGCCAGGCCACATTCAAGTAAGCGCTTTGGTGTAATGTTTGGCTTACTTCGTCGATTTCTTCGAAGTATTCAAAGGTTTCTCGGTCGTTTCCGCTTCGGGAGTTATGGTCTTTCACCCTTTTATATTCATCTTGAAGGTATTTTATTCGGGCTTTGCACTGAAGGCCAGTGGAGGCATTTCCCGCCTAAAGTGTACGGTCGAGAGCGATTTGATTTACCGCATCAACAAAAGTATTATATTTTGAGACCTCGCGAATCCATTTGCAGGAATTCACCCCGTCTAATTAGTCCGGCACAGAGACCAATTGAAGATATAACACATTTGTTGTTTGGTTACCTGGCGTTGAACGAACAGCCTTTGTTGGCGCGCTCGAGACCTACTGGTGGAACAGAACGTATTGTAGTCATCGCGGAATCGACGAAACAATTCGTTCTTTGCAAAAGCTTTCGGCCTGATTTCACATTAACTTTTCGTTAGCACATACTAGTACTTTTTGGGGTCGAGACTGGATCCCGTAACTGTAGACAGCTCAGCCGATCGATGGAAGACTTCGGCCTCCATGATAAGATCGCGCTAAGTGATTCCAATGCAAGATTTAGGCTCAAGTCGCACTACTGCCTAAACCAAAAATTAGGCAGCCAAAAATTTTTCGAAAAGTTGAAACCGCAACCAGAAGAACCGAAAGATGTGACACAATTTTTGAGTCGCACTACCGAAATACACAAATATGTCAACATAAACACAGTTGATCTGATTTCATTTCTGGTGCGTATTGTGCGGTAATAAACATGAACCCAAATCGGGCATTTTGGTTTGCTTTGGTCCTTCTACTTCTACAAATTATCGACATGCAACAGCTGCAAATGTTTGTCTTTTCATCCTGTATCAGAGATGGGTGAATGAATACATACCAATTCTGAAGTCGCTTTTCTATGAAGACGGTGGCATTTACGTAGAATTCGTGTTGCGCCTTACACGTGGACCATTCCTCGCTCAGCCGAATCATGGTTTGATTTTCATTACTTGAGCCCTTTGCTCTTCTTGCGGCCATTTGTCGTATTGTTTTTTTTTTCTTTTCGTGCCAAACCTTCGGCTGAACAACGAATTTGTCACGGGGGAATAACAAGAGTCACGCAGGCCTGCGAACACATTTTAACTTTCGAAGGAACTGCAACAGACAGTGAATCCTTGTTACATTCCACGTTTATTCACGCTATCTTGCTCCCACCAGAGATGTTCACTCGACCGCGACAGGATGCAAATGACTCACTTTTCGTTTTGATGCAACGCAATCAGAGTGCGCACACCGCCTGCTCTAGTGTATAACTGAGGATTAATTTTTAATCTCTTGCATACCCTCTTAGGTAGTGTATACCTGAGGATCAATTTTTAATTTCTTGCATACCCTCTTGTGTAGTGTATACCTGAGGGTTATTTTTAAGAGCTAATGTCAACTTGCATCAGACAAACAGCGGCAAGTCGCCCAAATTCTTTTTCTCTCCTACTTTTATATTTTGTAGCCCAATATGTCCTAATAATTGTGGTGTGGTTTTTTTGTGAAAATATATTTTAGTTTTTGAGAAATGAGTTTTTTCGTTCGACCGCTCAAATATGCAAATTTTCACCCTGAATATTACCCGAGTTGTGTGACCTCGTGTAACGAATTTACTTGACATCCGGTATTTCTGTCGGCATAATACTTTGTTTTATCATCTAAACTTAATCCCTGTCATTATTGAGGCCGGCAAAGAAATATTTATTTTTTGGTGAATATTTTTGTCCGACATACTTTTTCTATGTCGAAAAGTAGCGTCAAAACAAAGACAGTTTTAACAGTGATCGATATGACAGAATCTACTGAGCTTCTTGCTTTTAAAAGACAATAGGATGGCTATAAAGTTACTGTAAAAATTTCCTTGTGTATTTGTGTTGTTCTATCATGAGACGAACTCAAAGTCCGGCAAAATTTACTTGCTAGTGACTATGAAATATACATGGTGTGCCTACTTGTCGCTACCGTTTACTGGCATAAATCACTACAGTTTTGTAAAGAAATCTAACATGACACTCTTACCTTGTTTATTTATGATTTTATTAGCTGTTTCGAAGATCAAGTTATCCTCTACCACATTTTAGCCAGATTTAATTTGCGGTTTGTAAATCTTCCTCACATTATTATATTGGTTGCATGACAAGCGTGACACATATAAATTCAAAGATGAATCAACCTCCGAATTACCAACAGATGGGTTTTTTTCCCTCTTTCCATATCTATAAAAACCTTCCAAGAATTACTGTATTCAGAAAACTAAAATGTCCATTAATGTTCCTTTGCCGGCGGAAGTCAAAGAATGTTTACAAAAGTCAATTTGATTGACAAA